AATTTTTTTATCAAACTTAGAATTGTCATTCTAAAGCCTTATAAAGATGCTTCTAATTCAAAATAAATTCTAATCATTATAAAGAAACTCCAATTTTTTTAAAACTTTAATTTTCTTTAAAAACTTCAATTCACTACCACTAATAAATTTCTCCATCCCAATTTGATTCCTATAATTTAATAACTTCATTTCACTCATTAGATTTATTGAACGACAATAATTTCCTCAAGCCATCCTTAATATTAAAATTGCAACATTTACTATTCTTACAAAAATTGCTAATATTCACATTTAATCACATGCTTCAAAATCAATTCATTTAATCATTAATATAACCTCCATGACCAAAATAAATAATTAAATTCGAATAAACCACAACCATATTCATACATAACAATTTCTTAATTAAAATCTAACTTTAATTTCTCAAATCAACTATTTGAGCAAATCTGAACCACATAAACTATTATTCTAATATCATTAGTTTTATTAAAAACTAAATAATCAATTGAAATACTCATAAATTCAAAATATGCCAACCATAAGTTTTTCATTTTTAAAAAATTTAAAGCTAAAGAGGACACGTGATTGAGAAAAATATTTATAACATTTATATAAAACTAAAAAGCTTGAAATTTCATACAAAATATTTTATTATGGAGCCTTAAATCGAAAATCATTCCCTCATTTCTCTCCTCTGCTCGCTCTGCCTCTCCATCTCCGTTCGAATTTCGAAAGACGCATGAAAGAGGAATAAAAGAATGAAGAAAAGAGGAAGGGGTGGGGTCTTTTTAAAATATCGGTGTGGGTTCCACCGTGTATGTCACTCGCTTCTCTATTTCTTTCTTTTCTTTTCTTTTCTTTTCTTTTTTTCCTTTTAATCGTAATACTCCCTCAACCCGCTAATTCCTCTCCCAGTGTTTCTTTCTCTATTTATTTCTTTTTTATTATTCACATTCTTTATTTCTTTCTGTTCTACTTGCTTCCAAAAATAGGATACTGCCATGATATTATAAATTCTCACACATCTTTCGTAATTTTTTTTATTTTTCAAGAGTCTCATAGAATCCCAACGACTCAAGTAATAATATTTATTTCTATATTTTTCTGGAATATAATTTTAATAATATTTATATCATTAGAAGCACTCAAGTGTAAAATTAATTTACATAGTTTAATTTAATCTCCCTTAATCTTATTAACTCTCTTTTTCTAAAAATTATGTATTGAAATTAAGACCTTGAAATTTATATAAGATAATTACATGATAATTTCTAGTTATCATAGAAAAATTTCATTATAATATTACTTAACCTCTAAAAATAAAAATTGGAATGTTAAAAAAAAAAACCTCATTGAGTTTTCTATTGTCTAAGAATCTCAACTCGACATTGATATACATTTACATGTGACAATCTTTTGTCAAAATTTTGTCCAGTATATATAAATTTCACACTCATTATACAACTTGAACTCAGTAATCCACTATCTCCTCAAATTCTTTAATAACAACTACTTTTTCTAACTTCATTTAGCTCAACTATCCTTCCCTTAATCCTGAAAACCATGCATCATAAAGTTGCTATAATATCATTCAATAAATATTTCTTGCCTAGGACTTGGGTAAAAATCACCACTTGCTCATAATAATCCATATAAGCCCGAGACAATTCACTGAGAACTCTTATAAACTTCAAATAACTCTATTGTGATCAAAATAATCGGTCAAAGCCTCCCCGATTTCGATCTCGTTGCAAAGGCCAATAAATGCTGGGGAGAAATCTAGTTGAAACGGCAAAAGATTAATGTTAGAAGCTTACTTTAGTACTCACAAGCTCCAAATCCCTCTAAAAGGTTCAAAATAATGTGCCCTAATAAAACTTCAAAAACCTCCACCCCTCCTCTCTTCTCTCCTCCTTCCTTTATATTCATTTTCAAGATTTATTTTTATTTGGTTTCAACCACTCGCCATGACAGCTAACACAAAAAACCCAATTTTAAATCTGGTCTTCACTTATTGGGTCCGTATGACCTAATTCACTTTTAAGCTTAATTTCAAACATATCAAAGAACTCAATATTTGGAATATTAGACTAATAATATGAAGTTTCTAAATTTTGATAAACAAATAATTTCTTTTTCACGAATAGGGGTTGGCTTTAGCAAAAGTGGCCAATCCCTCCCAATGTGATGAAAAATGTTTAAATACTAATTAAAAGAGATGTTCACGTTTAGTGCCTGACAATGCCTTGAACATGATTATCACGTTTAGTGCTTGATAATTCTTAGAACATAATTACTTTTAATAAGAAAATACTCATGGGTAACAAAAAAATTTCTTTCTCTCTATATGATATTTTCCATAGCCTTTTAAATAAAAAAAAAATTAGTGATCAGTTTTTGGAGCCACCTCCACATGAACGTGTCATATTAATCTGGATTTAACGCTTGCATTGGAGATGAGTTGCTCTCACATATCATTTAGATTGTTAAAATTTTAAAAAAAAAAGAAACGATCCGACTTTATTTTATTTTAAATTTCAATATTTTTGTATATTAATGGTCACATAATACAAATTAAAAATAAAATTTGACAATGAATTTCTTAAAAAATCATTTTAATCAAACACGAAAATATAAAATATAGAAATTTAAATCACTCAAATTTTATAATTGCTGAATTAATCTTTCATGCTCTCATTGATCTAAATTGTTTAAAGAAAGAATTATATTGCAATCCCACACAAAGAAATTAATGTTATCAATGTAGTTTAATTTAATTATCAATTAACCTTATAATAATTGATTTTCTTGTACAAGACCTGATTGTGATTTTTCTTCTTTTTAATTATCTGAAACACATTGGAATTGACTGCATATTTCACTCACTATGATCATAGAAGTGGGGGTTGCTTGCTATATGTGAGATACTAATTTTACATGAGTAAGAAAATTGAGAATAATAATGAAAATAAGAATAATAGTTTATGAAATGAAACAAGCATGTTTTGGTTTAGCAAATAATCTAATGTGCTGAATTATCTAAAGAGTTGAATATGGAGACAGTTGACCAACAGAATTTTAAAAGTTTCAAATAAAAGTTGGAATTATTAATTTAATTTCTTAATTTATGTGATAAATTTTTAAAGCAAATATAAAAACTGACACGAATCAATAAAGTTTGTTGAAAGTGATTATCAGTCTTGAATTCTTTAAAAATTATCTTGGCCTTTTAAAACTAACCATATGTTGAAATCAAGATGGCCAAACTTGTGAGTTTAAATAAATTGACAGTGGGATGTAAATTTAAATTATAAACTCATAAGAATTTAATTCTATTAATAAATATTTATTAAAAATATATAATTAAATAAGTCAAACGTAAAATATGATTATAATTTAATTTAAATATATTTTAAATCTAAATTATTGAAATTTAAATCTATCTACATTGATGGATTGTCATGCTCAATATAGAGATTTTTAAAAAATATGGCAATTTATTTTTGGTATTTCTTGTCATCTTTTTTATTAATATTAATTTTTATTTTTTTAGTTTTATTTTTCTTTAAACCAGGGTCATACCACTTTTATAAACTGAATTCTACATGGTATATAGTTAACTTGCTTAATTTGATAAAAAATTAATGATTTTAACAAGTTTAGCTGAGTCACTCAAAAGTTTAACCAAATTTATATTTAATCTAAATTTAAGAGCCAGTTGACATAATTTTATAAGTTAATAACATAAAAATGATAAATTTAAAGAGTCAACTTACAAATTTATACGAGTGGCATTTAGTCTAAATTTATGAGTAAGTTGACATGAAATTAAAAATATAAAAATAATAAATTTTGAGAGTTAACTCATGAGTTTAACAACAATAATTAAAATCTATCACATGCTATGTTTTTCAAATTTCTTTTAATAACTCACATCTATCTTTCTATTTGATATAATCTTGTTCGAGACATGATTAGGACACTAAATATGAGCACATTTTATATTAAATATTTGAATCTTGATTTATCATGTTATGATAGATTGACATCTTTTGCTAAATTTAATTCCTACCAGTTATGGTTTTTTAATTTCTATCCCTTTGTCAATGCATCTTTTTTAATGTATTATTATTTTTTCTTATAGTCAAGGGACATTTGTTGATAAGATTTTGTAGATTTTTTAAAAGTAAATATATAAAAAATGTTCTTAAACTATGATTATGCATGCATTTGGTGCTATGTAAATTAAAACTTCATTTAATGATTACGTATACTTATGACTAAAATTCAAGATCTTATATTAAGCTAGACCAAGTTCTAATCAGTTGATCCAGGTGTTCAACAGCTAAACCATATTTACAATGTAGAACTTTTATTTCATTTCATGAATTGTCATTCTTATTAATAAGAAGGAAAAAAAAATTTGTCCATTCTCCCATTTGGGTCTTAGAACATGTGTTAAATTGGATGCCAAACATCCTTCAAGATATTGGTGCATATTTGATATACAGAGAAATGTTTTTTTAAAAAAGAAATGAAAAATTTAATGAAATATATTATTAATTTTTTATAAAACAGTTTTACCTATCAAAAATTACATCATTATTTTGATGGATGACTTTTTTTAGTTCACCAGCTTGTTTTCTTGTTTTGATGATTAGCTACTTCTACCAAAATCACAATTTTTATATAGTCATCTGCTTACATGAAACTAAAGCATGTTCTTGTAAACTATAAGAAATGATATTTTGTAACCTAAATCGCAGTCTTAATTTCTCTTCACGATGATTTCTCTTTGATACGTTTTCACTGCAAATTTGAATTATTCAGATCAAATTTTAACAATACAGAGTTATCTGTAATTTTAAAAACTACCCCATCTAAATTATCAAATCGGGGTAGATGGTCAGATTTGCAGTGCCATCGATGGGAAAGAAAACCACATCCTAAACTACAAGGTGTTTTTCAGTTGACACTAGAAACCGGCGACGTAATAAATAAAACCCTAGACCTTGATGTAGTAACAGATCTTCGCTTAAACAATCTACCGTCACCTGTATATCTAACGGCCTAGTTTCCGCACTCGCGCTTATCACTGTCCTCCTTCCTTCCCCACTCGCAGGCTCTTCTCTGATTCTCTCCTAACATGGATGAAACCGTGGTCGATCTTCCTTGTTATTTACTCTGAGTCCGATCCTTATATCGCCGTCTAAATTATCATCAGCAAGTGCCAACTCCATGGTTCACAATACATGCTGATATTTTCTATTTTCTTCCCTTTATAAAAATTTGAGTAATGAGTTGCCATAATCCTCATGAAATAGACTTTTTGTAGCTTTAGCGAGAAACCTGTTCATACTTTAACCATTTTTAGCTGATTAGGCGCTTAAAGTTTCAGGCTTTGTGCAGTTACTGTGTATATTTTTTCACCCACTAAGCTAAGTTCTATCTAATAATCACCGATGAGTTCGGGTTCTGACACTAGTTACTCAAAGATGATATCAGATGTAGCGATTCGATCGATTTTCAATACCCCTGATTATGGCGAAGATTTGAGCATGCTGATTCGCCAACAGAGGCGACAGCAGCTGCAGCAAGAAGCGAGTGAACGTGAGAGGGAACTCAATATGTACCGAAGTGGGTCGGCGCCGCCCACCGTCGAAGGCTCGCTTTCTGCTGTTGATGCTTTGTTCGACGCTTCGAAGGCGGCATCGGGATTCGGCAAAAGCGGCGGAGGCAGGGGTTTCACGAGCGAAGAGGAGCTTCGTGCTGATCCGGCGTATGCAAATTATTACTATTCAAACGCTAATCCCAACCCGCGTTTGCCGCCTCCATTGGTGTCAAAAGAGGACTGGCGTTTCACACAGCGGTTGAGTAGTGGGATTGGGGACAGGAGAAATGGAGATGGCTCGCTTTTCTCCGTTCAGTTTACGGGTTTTGATGGGAAGGAGGATAGTGGAGTGAATGAAAGAAAGAGTGCTGCGGAGTGGGGCGGCAATGGGTTGATCGGGATGCCGCCGGTGGGACTTGGGAGTAGGCAAAGGAGTATTGCAGAATTAATTCAAGTGAGCGTTCATTCTGTTATTCCTCTTGGTACTATATGATTCGATTGCTTACAACCTGTGTAAAGTGATGTTTCTAATTAGTTTGGTTTGGAGTTAATCTAATCTTTCTTCTTTATTGTAACCGCAATTTTATCATTCTTGGTTCTATTTTCATACTTGTAACATTAATATGGCATAGTAATCCAAGTGTCTGCTGTAAAGACCTGATTCTGGTATTTGAGTGAGTGACTTTACCCTGAGTTCCAGTGATATGGCTTCCCACACTGAACTGGGGTGTAGTAAGGCTGCATTTATAGACTGGTTAACATGGGACAAGTCACTCCTTTTTGTCAGTGGTGCTTCTCATTTATTTAATTCCCGGACTGTTCTGTTGCATCCTAAATATCTATGTCTAATTTTCTCAATCATTAGCATATTTCTAATTGTCTTTTCGAAAGTCAGTACTCAGTTTCCATTTTCCAAATTGATCACGCTTTGAAAAATTTTTTGGTAATCTACCAGTCTTCATTCTCAAAGATTTGGAATTTTCTAAAACTTATCTTTTCTATGATAAATTTCTTTTTGTCATTATTAACCGAGTATGAGCTAACATTATCAATTTTAATAAGCAAATTGCAGTTGACATATTACCTACTGTATGATCATTTTACTAATTCTTACGGTTCTTGTTGTTCTTTTGCCATTTTGCCCAAGCAGGATGAGATAAATGGTGCATCATCTTTATCTAATCATCGTCAAACTAGCTATGATGTATTGATGACATTGTGAAAACTCAGAAAGTCATTTTTCTCATCTGGAACAAGAATTGTCAACTGTAGATCCTTTACACTCTGCTGGGAATAAAGCGGGCATGCCTGCTGCTCAGAATCTTGGTGGACCAGCTTCCCAAACCTATGCTTCTGCTTTAGGAGCTTCCTTATCCAGGAGCACTACACCTGACTCTCAACTTTTAGGTAGAGCTCCTAGTCCTTGCCTTCCACCCATTGGGGATGGGAGGTCTAACTCTTTTGATAAAAGATGTTCTAGTGGTCAAAATTCATTCAACGCTGTCTCTTCTAGTTTAAATGAGCCTGCAGATTTGGTTTCTGCTTTGGCTGGCTTGAATCTGTCCCCAAATGGTATTGTAGATGATGAGAAACATCCCAGCGGACACAAGGAATCTGAGCATACTCATAATATCAAACACCATTCATACCTCAACAAGCCTGAACCTCTACCTTATCAGCTGCACTCTGCTTCCCAATTGACAAAAGCATCTCATTTGAAAGTGAACAATAGCAGTGGTTTCAGATTGGATCTCTATAACTCTTCAGCAAATGCAAATGAGCAGTTAGAACTTCATAACTCTGCTGGGATTTCTGTTAATTCATACTTAAAAGGACCTTCTGCACCAACTCTTGCTGGCAGAGGAAACTTGCATGCTAATTATCAGAATGTGGATGGTAGAAGTATCTCATACCAAAATTATGGGCTGAGTGGTTATGCTGTGAATCCTTCTTCACCACCACTGATGGCTAGTCAGCTTGGTAGTGGTAATTTGCCTCCTTTCTTTGAAAATGCCGCTGCCACGTTAGGAGTGAATAACATGGATTCTGGAGCCTTGGGAGGAGGTGTGGCTTTAGGACAAAATTTATTGTCAGCATCGGAGTTACAAAATGCAAGCAGGATGGGAAATCATGCCGCTGGTGCCTCTAATCCCTTGATGGACCCTTTGTATCTTCAATACCTAAGATCAAGTGAAGTTGCTGCTGCACAAGTTGCAGCCCTTAATGACCAAGCAATGAATAGGGAATCTTCAAATAATTCATTTGCAGATTTGCTTGGCCTCCAAAAAGCTTATGTAGAGTCATTGATTGCTCCTGAAAAATCACAGTTTTCTGTTCCTTACCTTAACAAGTCCCCTAGCCTGAACCACCCTTATTTTGGAAATCCAACATTTGGTGTGGGAATGTCATATCCTGGGAGCCCATTGGCGGGTTCCTTCTATCCAAACTCACCTCTTGGATCAAGTAGTCCTATAAGGCAAAGTGAGCGGGGCATGCGTTTATCTGGGATGAGGAATGGGGCTGGGGGTTTCATGGGAGCTTGGCATCCAGAGTCTGTTGGTAACTTGGATGAGAATTTTGCATCGTCCTTGTTGGACGAGTTCAAAAGTAATAAAACCAAGTGTTTTGAGCTTTCAGAAATTGCTGGCCATGTTGTTGAGTTCAGGTACATACTGCTTCTCGACATACTCTTTTTGCTCATTGACTTTGATCAGGGATCTAATTCTTGTTTTTTCCTTTTCTCTTCTTACACAGTGCTGATCAATATGGAAGCCGATTTATCCAACAAAAACTTGAGACAGCCTCAATGGAAGAGAAAAATATGGTTTTCAATGAAATCATGCCACAAGCATTGTCTCTAATGACTGATGTCTTTGGTAATTATGTAATTCAGAAGGTAATATGTTCTCTCATTTATGACCACCCAGACTATCCTTTGGTGTGCTCTTTGAACTATTAGTGATTTTTTTAGAGCATGCTTTAGTGGGTGAGATATTCCTTTTGGACTACTTGCTTAATTCATGCTGGTTCACATGTAGTTTTTTGAGCATGGAACATCAACGCAAATCAGAGAACTAGCGAAGCAACTTACTGGTCATGTTCTTACCCTAAGTCTTCAAATGTATGGATGCCGAGTTATCCAAAAGGTATGCTTGTAAATTTATCCATCTTATTATTGTTGTTTCCGGTAATTGCATGTGTTACTTTTTTTGCATTTTGTTGAATAATTGTAATGAAAGTAAGCTGTCATGTTGCACAACAATTTTAATATTGAAAAATTCAGTTTCTCTCCTTGGCATGAGAAGCTGTGAATAAATAATTAAAACTGTATCAGCCACCACTTTTGAGTCCCACTAAGATCTTGAAAACAGGTCCAAAATTTCTATAATAAGGGAATGAATTTCCTCTCTCTGAACGCTTGCATAAATTCACGGTAATGGGTGCAGTTTGTATAATGTTCTTGGATATGGACTCCTTAGCTTGTCCAGCCTTATCGATTAAGATGCTCAAAGGCTGCAACTCCAAAACATCATCAAAGCAAAACCATAGCATATGATCAAGGCAACCCATTATAGAATGTTCATCCCTAGGCAAACCCATCACGTATCAACATTCTGAGCACCAACAGGGGGACCAATAGACTGTGGGTGTAGTTGTAATATATTGACATAGCATCCACAACTAAAATGAACAACATTCAAGGTGAATGGAAAACCACCTATCAATATCTTTGGGGTAAGAACATGTGGTAGCCTATAAAGGACGTATCCAATTTCAACAAAACCATGTAGATGTTGTCCACTCAAGTGTCCAATCCTTGTAGCTTCATTTCTAAAAGTGAAAATAGCTCAATTTGTGTGAGATCCTGTGACAAAATTCACGCAGCCGTCCTCATTAGCATCTCTAGGATCAAAGAGCACAATATTAAATGGTAAGAATGTTGCAAAGCTGGCACATGAAATATAATTTGTGAGATGGCAACTGAACAAACAGCTTCTATGCATCTTAAGAGAAAAGCAATCAATGTAAAAGTCATCAATGGTATATCTCAAATCAAAGCGTGTGACATAGAGAATAGGGGTATTGACAGGCCAAACTTGAACTTCCATGATTTTGCTCGAGTAAGTCTTGATAGTGAATCCTTCAATAGAAGTAAGAAAAAGAGAATAGGATAGGTCACTAGATTTGCGCCTCATGTCCAGAATTAACAAAATTCTAGAATAAAAAACCAATTGATGTGGCCACAATTGATGAGTAGCGCTTATGGAGAAAGGAATAGACATTACCACTAGAGTTGGATGTACCAAGGAGTTTCCCAAGGGTGCTGAAACAAGAGGTAGGGTTTGGAAATCAAGTGACATCATGTGGACCACCATTGGTAACAGCCACAAAAGAAGAAGACAGGCTAGCAGCTTCAATATTTGCAACAATCGAGTTCTCCTCCACTAACCTAGGGCTATCAATCATCATTGATTCATCTTCGTCTCTATTGCCCAGGGCAGGGGGTAGCAACACAACAAAGGTGTTATCTTTAGGGTCAAATCTAAGCACATAGGTGCTAAATCCAAAAGGGGAGAAGAATCTGAGCACATCTCCTTGATGGCTGGTCGTGCATCCACCACTCCAAATTGACGATAGATTGTGGCCTTTTCAGCATCGATTCGATGAAGGCGTGAAAAGTCGAGGAGCATTGGCAATTTTCAATTGACATCTTGGCAGTCACGCACTTGGTAGATGAACTTTGGTTTGACTCTAATGAATCATAGCTACTGATTTCTTGTTGTAGACCAATCCTTGCCTTGGCCCGCTCAGTGTCATGGATTGGGTAACACTTCTCAAAATTGTCTACCAAAGGATCCATAGCTTTAAGAGCTCGAGAAGAGTAGGCTCCAATTGATTCAAGCTTTTATCCATTGTATTGTATTGCATCGGTGTAGGAGGCGGAGCTCTACTCTCAATGAAAGCACCATCTGTTATGATCATAATCAGATGTGAGAAAAGAAAGAAATACAGATAATTCAGAGGAAGAGGGAAGGAGAATAGTGTCAAGGAAGGGAGAAGAAATACATCAGAGAGGGAAGACGCTCACCAAAATCATCGACACCCAACTAGACCTTAGTGTTCATCTCTTATGCCTAATTCCTACCCATAATCCAGATCCGGTCCCTTCCTTACAAGTAATCTCTTATTATTATAATAGAGCCCAGCCCATTCATTACATAATGCCATGACTTTTATGGGCTTTTCCTATTTGGGCCCATAACTGCAGTCAATTAGGGCTATTATTAATGCCCACTTTATTTTTGTATTGTTTAGTTTTATGTGAAAACTATATTATTTATTGTGGACTTAGCATGTCTCTTTATTTGGGAAAGTTTAGAACATGTCACCCCAATATCGCTCCAAGTTCTACATTAACTGAGTGTGATGTTGGCATGTCACCATTAAATGATTGCAAAGGGAGGCACAATGTCAAAACTATCATAGTTAATTAATATATTTTGTCTACTATTTTGCTTTGCATTTTGTTGTGGCCACAGCCTAAGAGTGGTATGGGTAGAGTTGGTACTAGCCAAATATTTTAATGTTTTATTTTCCTAATTTCAGAACTGAAACAAAGCCTTCAAGTGATTTAAATTGGACCAGAGTGTGATGCTTGGTTTGACCTGGTTATGTGCAATTATTCCATGTATTTGGACAGATCTGCTGACTTATTCATATGCTGTAATTGATAATTGATTTTGTGTCATTTTTTAGGCTATAGAAGTTGTTGATCTGGATCAGCAAACTAAAATGGTAAAAGAGCTGGATGGTCATATCATGCGCTGTGTACGTGATCAAAATGGAAACCATGTAATCCAAAAGTGTATTGAATGTGTACCTGAAGATGCGATCCAATTTATTGTTTCTACTTTTTATGACCAAGTTGTGACATTGTCAACTCATCCATATGGTTGCCGTGTGATACAGGTAAAGGACGCTTTTTCTTTTTAACCTCAATGCATGTTGACACATATTTTCTTGAAGGATAGTTTGAAAGATAAGAACGATAGTTCTGAACTTGATGGTTGTTTCAAACAGAGAGTGCTAGAGCACTGCCGTGATCCCAAAACACAGCAGATAATGATGGATGAGATTTTGCAGTCTGTTTGCATGTTAGCACAAGACCAATATGGGAATTATGTTGTACAGGTTTGTTGTGCTTCTGAGTCTTTTTGCTTGTGTTCATAGGTGCCGATTTGATATATTACGAGTAACATCTTAACTGCCTCGTGCTCTTTCAAATTAACTGTTACTTCAAATATTTTTGGTCTTTTGTTGTGACGCATCAATCATGAGTGAATGTACATGTCTTTAATGTATGAACTCAAGGATCTAAATTGCTTTAATATTATCTGCCTGAGCCATACTGCAACCAGATTACCTAAGATTATTAATCATTTGCTTGCCCCGCCAAGAAAAATATGAGGAAATGCAGTTTACTGTACAATTAGACGTCTTTGCATTCCTGCATAAAGGGTGTATATTGTCTGGCCTTGTTATTTTAATAACTTTGGAGGTTTAGAAACTTTATGACGACATAGTTGATAGTTGACGTAAAAGGTTTTGAATAACCATATATTGCTACCGGCTATTTTTATTAGGTAGGTTAAATAGTTTGTTTACAGCTGTAATAGGGTTAAGATATTAGGGTTATGGTGAGAGTCAGGTAAGGAAGTGGAGTTTCCACATAGCAGAAAGGGAGAGAATAAGTGGATAGACAGGGATTCCCTATAATATAGACTGGGCCAGCCAGCTATGTATTTTCATGGGGTAATGGTCAGAAGGTGTGTGAATTAATTTTGAAAGTATTATAGCAATTTGCCTTTTCTTATCTCTATTTAAATTTCTTTAAAAATACATGGTTGAAAGATTGATCTGGTGCCCAACAAGGGATTTGGTAGTATTGATGTTTGCGTTGGTATGATGGTTTGATAGCTATCGAAGAAGCAAGGACATGGACTGCCGGATGCTGACAATAGAGTAACTGTGAATGTTGTACTGTGTCTTATATAATAGGGTCTGGCATATGTTGGACAGAGTCAATTCCTTTTCTCAAGTCTTTTTGCTTCAAGGATAACTATGTATAAGATACATTCTTCAAAAGATAATGTAATGGCCCTCCCAGGAGAGTTTCTTGCTCATTGTTTGAAATATTAATATAGGGATAATGATCTTCAAGGATTGCCACAAGAAGGTTGACCTATCAATTTTATCATCTTTCTTCATCATCTAGGCTCAAGCAAAATCTTTTCTTGACAAGATTTGATTATTATTATTCCTGTGAAGGAACCCTTGTAAAATGTTTGGCTGGTAGAAAAGTGTTTCCTATAAAGGAAGTGAGAAATGCATCTATCTTATTTTTCATTTCCTTTCTAGATACATTTCTCATTTCCTTCCTAGAAAATACTTTTTCGTGTACCAAACATTGCCCTACTGACTTCTGTAGAATTGTGAACCAAGTTAGGTAGGCAGACTGTGAAAGGATGGAAGGCTGGTGGATTTGATTTCATTTTAATACTTTGATCTCAATGTTCTCTGGAAATTGCATGCTTATGTGACGTTTTTTTAAAAAGACTTGACTGGCTTTAACAACATTTGTATGTCACAATGGATCTCACCCTCTTAGCTTACCTGTTTTACTCTTCTGATTATTGAATTAAAATTTCAGCATGTGCTGGAGCATGGGAAGCCACATGAACGCTCAGCTATTGTAAATCAATTAACTGGGCAAATTGTGCAGATGAGCCAGCAGAAGTTTGCCTCTAATGTGATAGAAAAGTGTCTAACTTTTGGAACACCAACAGAACGTCAGGTCCTTGTAAATGAGATGCTCGGTTCCACCGACGAAAATGAGCCCCTGCAGGTTTGTGGCCTCTACCACTGATGGACTGAATCATCAAAGATACATCTTTTTTTTTTATCATGTTCTCTGAGCTTTGGAATCTGCTGTGCTGCAAAATGTCCAATGCCCCCTCATATTTTTATATCATTAACATTTTGATGGATTTTATGGACTCTCAAGAGTCATCTAGCAATAAAAAAGTAAATTTAATTCAAAAGGCAATTGTTTAGTTTGAAAATGAGCTTTGGGCCCTTGGATTGAAAATAAAAATTGTAAAGTTTAGGTTTTTTTTTTTAATCCATAATTAGTTATAATAACAGAGGCATAATAAATATTACCTGTTTTTTTTGTGAACGCCGCTTATGTATATATACTTCCCTTTGGTTATATTACTAACGTAACAATTTCTTCTGTGTTGTAGAAGATTGGAGGTTCGAGTTACAAATTATGCATAACATTATTTTGTGTAGCTTATGAGTACTGGGTTTGACTGGTTCTTATCTGTTGTTTGCTTTGAGAGTGCATGTTAACTTTAAATTTTCTTGATTTTATGAGTTCCATATATTCAATAATAATAAACAAGAAAGTTTCCTTTCAATACTTCTTCCAATTTAAACTCTCTCATCAGCTCAATGCTTCTTCCAATACCCATGTGGGATGGAGAACCCTACACCAAAAGCTGGCTGTTGAGGTGGGAGAATCAACCTACTTACATATTCTATTGAACATTCCATACTATTTAATGTGAGATTTGATATCCATAATTCCATGTTACCAAGTTTTAATCAGAGAGTCAGCGCTTAACTTCCACAGAATCCTCTCTTGATTTCGCATTTCCATCCTTAGTTGAGCATTCATGTATTTCATCATTTTTTCAACTTTTCTTACTTTTTGATTGGTTTCTGTTGGTTTTAGGTTATGATGAAAGATCAGTTCGCGAACTATGTTGTTCAGAAAGTGCTGGAAACTTGTGATGACCAGCAACTTGAGCTCATCCTTAATCGGATAAAGGTCCACCTGAACGCGTTGAAGAAGTATACATATGGGAAGCACATAGTTGCACGTGTAGAGAAACTGGTTGCTGCTGGAGGTATCTTGTCATTCTCTAATTTTCATCTCTCATTTTTGTACGTACTTATGAGAAATTTAGCATCATGATCATGAATCAGAGCACTTTGCTGCTACAGCAATGCTTGGGCTATTCATCAGTCATTTTCATTTCTTTTTTTGCAAGATAGATTATTTTCCCTTATCATTTCTATTCTAATCATTTAGTGCTGAGTTGTTAAAATATCCATTTGTCTTGTTTTTATAGAAGATCCTAATAGCAAAAGCACAGAAATTTTGACAATCTTTATCTTTTGACAAGTAGGGAAAATCACTCTTAGGCCTCACAAACGCAAAAAACCTAGATATAAAAAAGTCCCATGGAAACATAGAGTTACTCTGAAGTCCATGTCATTTACCAAATTTGTTAATTTTTTATATTGAAGTTGCGAATTGGTTCTGAGTAGTTGTTAATGGAGTTGTTTAGTTAACAACTAAGCAATAATAATTAACAGCTATTCAATAGTAATTGACCATTTAAGTAAAGGACATGAGACTTCACAGTAATTTTATGATCTCGTGGGAGTGTTTTTCCTATGTAAACATTCGTGTGTATTAACAACTTAAGATACAAATTTCACATTTGATGTTTTGCAGAACGGAGGATTAGTCTGACTCTCAATCCTGCACAGACGGCGGTATAGGACATGAAAGCTACTGTATGGCTAACTGAGCATATTACAAGCTCTCTCTCTCTCTCTCTCTCTCTCTCTCTCTCTCTCGTTACTTTTACATGCCCGGCAGCGGTGGCCGTCTGTTGATTCTGACGGATGGCGTTGGTCGGGAATAAGGAATCTGCCTTGTACTTGAAATGTACATTTGTTAGTTTGAGGTTTATATATATAGCTAGAATCAGAATCAGGTTTAGCTGAGGCTGGGGCTGTGAATGAGGACGCCTGATGCCCAAGAAGAGATAAAATTATGCACAAGCTTTTTATCAAGTTGTAAAGGCATGTAGTTCTTTTTTACTTCACGATTGTGACTGTAAAGAAAAAAATGTTAACGCGTTTGAGTGAGACCCACAATTTTTGTGGTGCTATGAGATTTCAAATTTCTCATTTTTCTTTTGATGATGCCAAAATCAAATGTCACGCATTTGCTTGTATCAAAATTCTCTTAGATAATCTGATCAAATAATTTAGAACAAGAAATTATTAAATTTTCCTTGCATGTTTTAAGGGAATATTATGAATAGATCCTGTATAGTAGACTCAGTTATAAATAACATTTGCAAAATTTAAGTACAGTCAATTTTCTTAGAATTTGGGTGTAATTTGATGTTAGGATACACAATAGTATTGTCCATGTGGATTGTCTTTTACTTGCAACTGTAATTTTACAATATACGAGTAAAAATTTATAATTCATGAATTAAATTTTTTGTTTTAATGCTTGATGTAACAGTTGACTATGTCTTAACGTTATAATTACACAGTAAATTATAAGTTTTGCATGTTAATTAGATTTATTGTAGCATTAAGTAGGTAAAATTAATTTCAGGAAAATTTTATGTTATATCAAACGTTAAATAATAAATTTAACAAGTAAATTACAAATTTTTATTTGTAAATTATGAAGTTAGAATTGCAAATGAAAATTAAATTAATTGTCAAGACTTTTATTAATTAAGTTTAAAGTTAAAGAATCTGTAGATCAAATATGCAAATTTCAAATGAGCTATATTACTTTCCTTATATCACAATTAGACTAATTATAATCTTAAATGGGCATAATTAACTTTATATTATATCTTGAATAAGAAATTTGACTTGTGAATTGTGAATTTTTACTTGTAAATTATAAAGTTGTAGTTCTAATTGAAAGTCAGATTAATTGTCAAATGTTTTATTAATTAAGTCTAACTCTAAACAACTCACAAGTTAAACAAGTAAATCTCAAATGAGCTCTATTACTTTCTTTACATTCCAATTAGATCAATTATAACCTTTAGTAGCTAGGCATGATTAATCTAATGGAGAATTCATGTTATATCAAGTGTTAAACAAAAAATTTAATTTGTGAATTATGAATTTGTGCTTATAAGTTATGAAATTGCAGTTATAAATAAAAGCCAAATTAAAAGAGGTAATATTATCTTTGCACTTGAATCATAAATTACAGTCACATTTCAAAAAATTTGAATGTGATTTTTAATTTCGTAAACTTATTTATTAATAAGTCTGCAGTACCTGTTTGTAATTTTCCCTTATGTAAATAAAGAAATTATAACTACTCATGACTTGCGTAATTTTATGATTATGACCTATACTGTTGTGATGCAATGTTGAATGTAAAAATTATAAACCCTTTAGCATTTAATTACACTCACCCAATATATTAATTAATTAAAATATCTTGACAATCTAATTATTAACCTTGTGATTGTAAATATATAAATGATTTCTTAAGTGTTTTATTTATAATAATTTCTACCTCGCATATACACATATTGAACTTATCTGCAGTTTTTGAGAAAAAACGTATTTTTTATTTGAAAAAAAATTAGGCATTTAAATTTTATATACTTCCACTACTTTTTAATTAAATTATAAATTAAAAGTATTAATAACAAGAGTTAGTAACATGGCGAATAAAGTATACAAATTCAACTGTCTTAATTCAATTGAAAAGCAATACCATAAGGCATGAGTATATAAGTTTCGGTTTAAATACCTAAAACTTTTTGTATTCTCCCTACCAAGTTTTGAATCAAAATAAGAGAAGTGTATAGTTCTCCAACAAAAATATAACAAAGTGTGTATTGTCATTGAAAACTAACTACAATAAAAGTCATGCACTTATCATATTTTCATTGAAAAATCTTATACTTAACGCGTTTTTATTTTGCACGAAATAAGATAACACTATTTTATTTTCACCCATTTTTTGTACCATTAACTTACTAGTCTTCATGGCAAGAAGTAGAGAAGGCTTAATAGTCTTTAATTCATTTATAAACTACTCCTTCCGGTCTCATTTATAAGGTACATTTTAAAGGATTTATTTAGTCTCATTTATAAATCATATTATAACTTTTTATGTAATATTTACAAATATTTTTAAAATTATTCTTGATAAAAGAAAAAAAGAAACATAACATCACTTTTTAAATTTATTATCTATGAATATATTTAAAATTTTATGCACTTTATTTTTTATATTTTTTTATATTAATATTGATAAAATTGATAAAAAAGACTAATAAAAAAGACCGAGCAACATGTGCTTATCCCTCCCTTCCTCTCACTCTCTCTCACACACACACAAAGTAAACCAATTTCAGTATTGCATTAATTTTGTGCCCTTTGAATTCAGATGGAGTCACATGGAATAGTGGTGGAATCACATGACCACAAAAACCATTAAAAAGGCAGTCAAAATTATGGGCTGCAAAGTGCACACTGTTTCTTGTTCCTCCTACTTTTTCTATTTTATTAACTTAAGGGTGCGCGCGCGCGCACATATATAATCTTTCTGATTTCAAATATTTAAATTTCTTACCCAGTGAGGGAATAAAGTGTTCGGATACATTACTTTTGATTATTAATATTCATGGATTACTTAAGCCCATGGGATCCTCATTCGCGAGGGAAAACTGCCCTTAAGAACCAAATGAGAAATGTATTTACCATTAAGAACCTCAATTTTTAATTATTATTACTAAGGGCCGTGGTACTAAACAGATATTGATTTAGGATATATAAGACTTATAAAGTAAGAAAACCTCATGTGAACTAAGCAAACCTCTTTAAATTATGCAAGGCCTTTTGTAAACTTTTTAAGATTCTAGTCTTTAAAACTTTGCAAGACCTATTGTAAGTTATGGCAGATAACTTAAAAACTAAGCAGTATATATATTGCAAAATCATACAAGATCTTTCATAGTTTTTTCCATTTTAAGCAACTAGCAGTATTTTGGTAATTTCTCATAATATAGAAATTCCTACTCAAAATCATGATCCTTATTAAAAATTACACAAATTTGAGGTCTCTAATAACAAATATCTTTCTCATTCTATCCTTAAGAGCAATTTTCCCAAAGATACAATGCTAGTAGCATTGGGGATCTGGCAATCCCTAAGCTTTGATGTGTTAAAATAATAATAAAATTGTGTTCAAAGGTGCGGCTCATCATATATACTTAGTACTGAAACTAATTCATTAGCACTTGCTGGATTCTATTTTTAAGGCGTTTGAAGCATTTTCACATGTTTTTAAAAAAATATTATGTTACTTTATTTGTTAAAAATATTAATTTTTGAATATTGTACCCTTATTAATTAAAAAAGAAGATAAGTTATCTAGTTATTTGTACAAATACTTTCTTAAGTTTAGAAGGTAAAACTGAAATATATAACACCTTATGAATATGACCACTTTTATTTTTATAAAATACTTCATAAAAAATAGCATCTTAGTAGCATGTGATTATATCCTGTCCCTTTAATAAAAAACCATGTATGGAAAATGGAATACACTATATATACACACATGAGTGTGTACGTGTGTTGACTTTGTTTTGGCTGAGTCACAAGCATAACTATAGTCCATATATGAGGATACTGGATAACATAAAAGTTTGTGCAGTTTCCTGGGGGATGAGTCAAAGAGTTGACATAATAATTTTAAGATCTAAACCCGAAAAATTTAGTACTCTTAAAATCACGATGCTCTTGCTATTTAGGACATGAGAAAATAGGATTTGAATTTTGGATCTAAACCACGAAATATAACTATCTTGGTCTTGTTTTACCCCACGAACACTCCTTTTAAAAAAAATACAGAGAGAGAAGTTATACATGAGTCTTTTGTTAAAAAAATAAATAAGGGAGAGATTATAAAGGATTGCAAAGAAATTCGTAGTTGCGGGGAATACTTTTAAGATTTCATGTAGAGAACACACGTCACAAATGATAAAGAATTGGGGAACTTATCTTTTGTTTCCTTGTCATATGTACTTCTTTCAATGAGCCAAATATTTTTTATTAATATAAGACCGCCGAGAAAACCATGTATAATAATGATAATTTAGATTATGTTAGTGTACAATATTTTTCACATCCAAGTAGCAGGATATTAAATATCTTAACATTTATATTATCAATGTAATTTTAGTCTGTCAACCAAGCAATATAATTATTTACTTCTCTAAAGATGTACTTAACAAAAGTAATTGCCCAGACTTCATAGTAAATTTTTTAATTTTGTTTATATATATTATTTAATGAATATATTATTTTTAAAGAACTCATTTCATATAAATATGCATTTTAAAAGAGTCACAATAAATATTAATTTTGTTAAACTTCTCATTCTAGCCAATATTTTGTTTGATGCTTCATTGAGAAGTGATCAACATTTTTGTCTATACCTGAAATACAATTCGTGTTTACAAAAGAGATTGTGTAAATTAATTAATTCCACCATGCTTATATGATGACCATATATGGATCATGCGATGATCAACCGACCACCATTATAATGTGGTGTGGAAGCGGGGGTATATAACATCTTAATAATACATGGTGTATGAGCAACATGTTTATGCCTTGTAATCTTTATCTAGTTTATTTTATACTTTGCGCTGTCTATTCCCCCAAAAAAGGAAGAACTTTTTTTTTTCTTTGATATTATCAACGAGGTTGGAATAGTAATAAAGAAAAGACTTAATGTCACATACTAACTCAAATTAGAGCGTGATCCATGTAAGTCATGCATTTTCATTGGATGAGTTTCTACATCACAATAACGAGCACCATACTATAGCGAGATTACATTTCAACTATCTAAAATTAATTTTAATGGCTTACTTCAACCTCCTGTTTGGTTGGAAAGAAATTATAGAAAAAAAGAAAACTATAATAAAAAATAGAAGAGAAAACACATTTTTCTTTATCTGGTTGAGAAGAGAAAATTAAAAAAAAAAAGGAACTTAGAAAGAAAATAAATAGTGGGTCTCATCATTTTTTCCTCTCATATTTTCTCTCCACATGTGGAGAGATTGTGAGAAGAAAATCTTTATCCCAATATTACCTTCCTTTTTTCTTGATCTCCTTAATTGTGAACCTTCTTAACACTATTTTAGACCAGCAACATCACATACACATTCATCTCCACTTTCACGACCATCATCTTCTCCGTTTTTTATTTTTTAAAAAATAAACACATAAAAAAATAAACACAATAACATGATGAAAGACTTTTCGTTAGAAAATAAATCAATATTTATGTATTTTACTTTTTTATTTTTCATTAATGTTAGTTAATTTGATTTCTTAAGTGTTATTATATTTTATTTTAAAAAAATTATCTGTTTTGATTTTTAAATAAAAATATATCTTGCAAATGATTTGATGTCAAAATATTGAGATGGTCTTATTTTTTTTCCTTCAATTTATTTTAATAAGGATAATGACCTAAGACATGTAATATATTTTACTATAAGAGTATTATTGTCACTATGTTATTTGCCAATTTTCTTTTCTTATTATTTTTTCTTGTTCATCCAAATATAAGAGGTGATAATATTTTGTCTTCGATTTTCTCTTCTCTCCATTTTCTTTCCTCTCATTTTCTTTCTTTTTATATAAAATATTTTTCAAAATTGAAGTTATAAAATTATCTTTATTTCAAAATTTTATATCTAAAAAATATGATTTCTTAAAAAAATATAAAAATAAAAAATTTATCAAATCTAGATTATTCATTTTTAATCTGAATGGTTTATGTTAGTGCTTATCACTAGGATGAGCGCCGAATTTTCATGAGCACAAATCATGAATAATGATGCTATCTCTCTGTCTACACACACACATATCTATATACATGCACATACATACATTTAAATTATTGATATATTGAACAGCTGGTGTAACAAAATATTCATATATATCTCTTTGAATGGATTGAAATGCAAAAAAGAATTTTTTTTTAAAAAAAAACAGTAGCTGAGCCTACTACGTAGGGCATATCGATCTATAATCAAATACCCATCATCAGTTATTTATGATGAAAACTAAAAGAAATAATTTTTAAAAGACAGTGGATGGGCGCAAATCAATTCTTGGGTATAATAAACAGCGTGAAAGAGATATTTTTTTACATATTAATATTATTGTTATTGTTGTTGTTATTATTATTTTATTAATATTAATAATCATTTTAAATCTTAAATTATTACTCAAATAATATCTTAAACTTTAAACTTTTAAAATATGTAAAATTTTTCCTTAACTTTTAAATTCAGAGTGATTAAAACTTCATCGTTAAATTAAAAAAAATAATCATTAATTTTATAGTTATAGGGTTTAGTCACATGCTAATGTGACACTTATCTTAAGCCTTAAAAATAATAGCTATTTTTACAATCCAACGACGGGGTTTTAAGCGTTTAAAATATAGAAGTTAATAAAATTTTTTTGCATATTTCTAGAGTTCAAGGATCATAATATTATTTATACAATATTTTAAAACTTAGGATGCTATTAATCTTTAGCGTAAGTGAAAAGTAATAAAACAAACAAAATTGCAAAAGCAAGTGTTATTAAGTTTCCAACAATGACAAGCAAAAATTACTCCAATATGTGCCTAACATTCACGTCATGTGGGAGATATGCACACTGGATATGCATGTTTCATCGATGAAGTTGAGGGCTTAGATCTTATTATTGTATTACATTTTATGTTAAACTATTGATTTTATAAGTAAAAATCCAATTATAAATAACAAGATCAGTTCCATTACAATTATAAGTTAAAAATTGAATTTTAGTACAACCACATGGGAATGTTTCGGATTTTTTTTCCCACTTTCCACAATTTTCATGAATACATCCATATGAGTCATTATTTAAGAAGGTCATTTTAGTAAAAGACTCATACCAATAAGTATACTGACATAATTATTTTTTTTAAAATATAACCATGCCACCTGAGTCATTATTTATGGCCATGATTGGTTGTGCTTCCATCTTTTTAAAAAACTATTTTGCAATATAATTTTTAAAGTTATTTCTCAAAACATGACAAAAAATTCTATTTAATTGTGTTAATTAAAAAATAGATCAGATGATTGACGGCTATTAATGGCAGTGGCTTATGATTATATTAGAGTTTTTAGTTTAGAACTAAAATCAAATGAGTTTTTTTTAATTTTTTAAAAAAATTAAAAGAAAAACAAAAAAAGCTCTATAATACTTATATTATGATTCCATTTTTCTTGTCATAATAAAAAAAGAGTAAAATAAAACTCCAACAATATTTTTTATATGGCCATTTTTGGTATCAAATTTGAGCACTACAAAGTCTAATTCGAATAACTCTCACAAATATATATTTTTTATATGCATGCGATTTTAAATTCAACATCTCAGGTTTAAGTGGTTATGACTTGTCAAAATTTGTTGGTAAACTCAACAATTCTAATTATAATGCTGTACCAGTGTTAAAAATCACTGTAAATTAGATTGAAATGTTTGTTTTGAACATGATATTCATGAATTTGCATGTTTTTTTCTATTTTATTACATTTTAGAAAATATAAAATCTTTTATATTTTTTCTCAAAAGGCAAACTTCATAATATATATAAAGGTTATCAATTTCAAAAGATTTATTTCTAAAATTTGACTACAATTTCATTTAATATAAGTTTTTAATCATCTTCTTCATCTTTAGCATTTTGATGCGATAGGAAATTAAGAATAGGTTAAGATTAAGACCAATAATGTAACATCCTGATTTTTATATAATAAAGAAATTATGGAATTTAGATTTTGAGGAAAAAAATGATAATAATAGGAATTTATATTATTTGAGGTTATTTAGAAATGATATTATGGTTAGGTATTTAATTATAAATTTAAAAATTTAAATTTAAAATCACATAAGCAATATTTAGTTAAGATATAATACATAAATAATTTTTTATTGTGTGTAAAAAAAAAGAGAAGGTAGAAGGAACAAAAAAAAGGGGGTGGAAGGTTGTTGTTTCTAAGTCCCACATTGGTTAGATGAGGGAAGAGAAGAGGTGCCTTCATGTATAAAAAGGAGGGGGTGTGTGCATTAGGAAGCATGAGTGGCTAAGATGCAATTTAGAGGAAATTGCAACTTTTGGCCTAAAGGTTTGAATAATTAAATTTGAACCTATAGTTTTTTTTAATATAATTTTGGGACCACAATCCCATTTTTATATTATTTTTCTCTCTTTCTCTCACGTTGCTCGGCGTTTTTCTCGCGAGGGGGGATTATTTTTTTTTTCTTCAGGTATGTTCTAACTTTCCTGTTTAGATTAGCATTTAAAAATTTATTTAATTACAAAATTAATTTTATAGTTATTTTCTAAATAATATTAGCTTTCTAGTGATATGATTATTTTGTAGGATAGAGTAAATATTTTGATTAAGATTTTTCTATAGGATAGTTAATCTGATGATATGATGGATTAAAAATATAGGTTAAAATTCTTAGGGATATAATAAATATTATAGAATATTTTCTTGAGGTTGAAACTCATGTTTAAGAATTTTTGAGTTAAAATCTAGATCTATATGGTTGAATTTATGTGGAATCTGAGACGTAGGGATAAATCTATGATTATTAAATATTTATTTAAGTATGAATAGGTATTTTTGAGGTTATAGAAAGGTGATTTGAGGCTTCAAGATAATTCTAAAATTTTTAATTTATTTTTGGATGAATTTTTAGAATGTAGAAGGATGAAATTGTGATACTAGAAGTGAATTGAGGATAAAAAAAATAGTTCATTAGGGTACGAGAATTTTAGAAAAGAATTTGGGAAGTTAAATGAGGCATAAATCTTAAATTAGTGTTAATATGGACTATAGATTTAAGACTTTCTAACTCTTTAAATTAGAGTTATTTATTCTAATGTAAAATTAATATATAGTATTGTGAAATAATTATGTAGATTATATTGACAAAGATAGTGGTGAAAAAGGAGTTGTGAAGGGGAACTTGTTATTCAAGACATAAGGTAACCATTATTAATGTGTTGTGATGAGTGTGTTTGTGAATGGTTATATGTTGTTTTGTTGTTTGGAAAAATTATGAATTATTGAAAATAAATACTGTATATACTTGTTTGAAATTATTGCCAAGTGGGTTAAAAATTTATTTTTTATTTATCATGATGAGATATTATTGTTCGGATATATTCCTGTTTGGATATTTGAATGATGCATGACTTGTCAGGGTATTTTAATGTATGGTGTTAATAGGAATTTCTGTTCGGTTAATTATTACCACGTGGTAAGCCCTCATTGGACCCAATGAGTGACGTGTCGCTTGGTCCAACTCACCTTTGGCCGGGTGATTTGGCGTCCGAGCATGGTGAAAGGAGGAGATAAGGTGCAGTCATACAATTAAATACTTGTTCGGTTTGTTTGAAAATATTGTTTGGTTAAATGTTTTGTGTGCCCACTTAGCAATCGCATGATTAGTTACATCCGCATGCATCATTACATATTAATTTTTGGTTACTGGGACTTTTAAGTCTCATTCCCCGTGGTTAATATTTTTACAGGAGCGAATCCGGCCGAGAAAGCACCAGAGGTGTAATTATGGTGTATGAGACACCATCTTTTACGTTGCCTCTTATTTTGGATTATACAATGTATCTTGTGCCAACTTAGGACATATCTTGTCTATGGAGCATGTAAACTCTAATCCTTTTTATTAAAAGTATTTATTTGACCAAGAGGATTATGTTTGTCTCTCTTGATTCATGACCTAATTTAAATATCATGCCATGAGGATCTTGACTGTCACTCATGGTTCTAATTGCTTTTTTTGAGATATTTTAAGACTTGTGGTATATTGTTTTGGATGTATCATGGTAAGAAAATTTTCTACCATGATAATGGTTTTAATAATTTGCGAAAAATCGGTTTGTAAATTTGAGGGTGTTACAAATAACTTATGCTTGATGACTCATTCTTTCGATCCCATTTATAGAATGAAAAGAATTTTTTTTTAATCTCATTAAATCTTCTTGTTAAACTTTCAACATAAATATTTTTTTATCTTTTGTGGGAGAGAAAATTATATTATTAATATATATATATATATTTTTAATAGAGATAAATCTAAAAATTTATTAAATTTTAAGATAAAATTAATAAATTTTGATGTTTTACCCAATTTAAAGCTTAATAAATAATGGAGTATAATGATATTGTATAATTCATATAGTCATTCTTATTTAGTGGGATAAAGGTTGTTATTATTGTTATAATATTTTATTTAATATTAATAAAATATATTAAAAATAATTTATAAATAAAATTGAAATAATATAAATAAATAAAAAAACTTGTACACTTAAACTTATATAATTAAAATACTTATATTTAATTAAATTAAAATATATAAATATTTTACAGATCATTTTTTATAATAAATTTTTTTATGAATTAAATTAATGTATTAATATTTACATGCTATAATTTAATTTAATATAAATATATTAAGTATATAAAATTAATTATATAAATCTTACTTTAAAAGGATTTGGTGAAATGGTTGAGGAAGAGAAAAGGGTCAAACATAAATATCTTGCTTGGAGGTCCACATTGGACATTTGGCGTGGTCCTCCCAATCATCATGAGAGTATTTATGCCACGCGCTTACACTTGTCGATTAAATTCAAGGTCGCTGTGAGCCATCGAATGACAGGGGCAAGAACATCATCGACGCTACTACTACGCACGCGCTCTTAAGAAGCGTGATTATTTTTTTTCTTGGACTGTAATGCGGCAAATGGATTTCGTCACTTGGCCCAATAATATCTAAACGGATATGCATCCAAGTTTTCGGTGCAAACCTTTTATCCTTTCCCCATCCGTCCCATTCTTCATCATCATCTTCTTCTCTCTGCCCCTATTTTTGTGTACAGTTCATCATTATTTTCAATTAGAGTCATCAATAATGGCAGCGTTTTTTAGACTACCCAATTAAATCCTGTAATTTTTTTATTATAAGATTGGGCTTGAAAATTGTCGATGAATATATGGATTCATAAACTTAAAACTTTAATAGCCAAGTTTATAATAGTCAGTCCGGACTTTACTAATAAATTTATTATCCATTTGATTCTTTATAAATTTTGTATGCACTTGATAATGCAGTTATAAAAATATAAGTGTATTATTAGATAGGGTAGAGGTTAAAGATTTAATAATAGTATCGGTGAAAGAGGTTGTGAGCACTTTAACATGAGCTTTCGTGTCTGAAATCGAATGCAAAAACATTATTAGGAGAGTTCTTTTAATTAGTTCTAATAATGTCCAAATTTAAGTCAAGAATACTAAATATCAAAGAGGTTATAAGCAATATTTTTGGCCGAAAAAATAGTCCCAAAAAGGTTAAGGGTTCACATTATGTAACAAGCCGCATCGTATAGTGTTTAAAGATTTTCAATATATGGTTAAAATTATTTATATTCTTTTACGAATAGATTATCTTTGAAAATCATTAAAAATTATTAAGAAGAAAAATAATAGGCGGGCATTTATTACATTTCACGCGCACTCTTTGACATAGAAATATAATGCACTGATAATCGTTGGATTTTTGTTAATAATTTTACCTTTTTTTTACAGCATCTTTTTTTATTTTTATTTTTATCGCTCCCTCTATTTTAATATACGTGGCATTTTAAACGCTATTTTCAATCCAAAATGCAGGACATTTGTTGTTTCTAACAATTATTTTTTCATTTATACAAATTGGTTGATGTGAGTGGAGTGGAGTGATTTGGGTTGCATGAAAAATCTCACACAACAGTTATTATTAATAAACATTGCTTCTCACCCCTCATGACAAGCAAAATGGGAAGTTCGAGTGGGAAATGAATCCCTACCCACACGGCAAAACACAAAGGCATAGTAGTCATTCTTTTTTCTTTTTTTTAAATTGAGAGATACTAGGTTTAATTGATTGAGAGAATTAAATTAGTTTATCTTTAAATCTTTGAGCTTAAATTTTGAGATATACAATCATATTAAATAAATATGCCAATGGATGAAAATTGTCATTATGGATAACGGTCTCATATAATAGAATACGATGATTCTTAGGTTTATTGGGATATCAAGAAATGGAATCAAATAATAGTTGATTTTTTTCTTAAAATTTTGATGGCACTCCAACTTTGCATGGGACCTGAATCTTTGTTGAGTGATTATAGCCTCAAATTTGCAAGAAGGTATAGATCGTTAATAATGGTGATATTCAACAATGTCATAAAAAAAGAATTGTTGAAAAAGTTCGTTGTGTCTTGTATAAGGGTAACTCAACCCTTCACTAGGGTGTTAGAAACTCATTGCAAGTTTAAAAAATTTGTTTGGGTAAAAAATAGTTGAAAAGAATTTTTGACAGATAATCTCATTTAAGCGGAAGCCACTTCAACGAGCTGATAAAAAGAATTTTCGAGTGAAATTAGGTTGAGTATTTAATGCATTTTAAATTTTGTTGGATTCTCTCTTTTTTCTTCTCACATTTTATAAATTACAAATAATACTTAATTATACATAGACAATTTTTAAAATTATAATTCAAAGTTTAATTTTTTTGTGAAAATGATTGAAATTAAAATTAAAATAATATTTATCATAAAATCCATGATCTTCATATGGCCAACACCGTGGCTGATCACTGCCTAGCACGACAGGCCCTTCATTCTTGTTTCGGTTTTAATAATTTTCAGTGATGTTCGAAGCTTGCTCGCACTCTCCTGTTTATTTAAAAAAAAAGAATAAAAGTAAAAAGTAAAAACACAAGTCGATTTTTTTTTTTAATAAGAGAACATAATGTTGATTGTTGATCACTAATACTATTTATTTGAACACACTGAGGTTTATCATGTACGAGTAGAAGACAAAAATATGAAAGATAATTTGATTTTTAAAATGTAAAAAAATTATTCTCTTCACCTGAAAAAAAAAAAAAAATCTATTCTGTTGGGGAATCTGAACTACAATCTAAGGCAGTACCATATCTTTTTTTTCAAGTACCGTATCTACTTAGTACTCACAGATCTAAACTGCACGTCTACAACCTAATTTTGGCCAAAATAAATACAAAAAGCTAGTTTAACCTAAGATTGTCTCAGCCAAGAGTTTGAACCCATTTGTGCAAATACGGTAACTGATTCGTTGCTATTTTCTTGCTGCTTTCAACAGTTTCCTTTCTTAGAATGTCCTGGAACCGGTAATTTTCTCTTTTTCTTTTAATCTTTTCTTATATTTTTTTTCACCAAATAATCCTTTCTTACATAAACTTTACGCTGGTGTCTGTGTATGCATAGTAATCAACTTTATTTTTTTTACTTTGCGTATTTATTCCAGTTGATTGTTTTCTCAAGTCCTCTTACTGTACCTTGTAAAGAGACATCTTTTCATTTTAATTACCAATAAATGTTTTTTAATAAAAATATGATTTCATACCAAAAATAAAAAGTGCATTGGTCCTTAACATATATATATATTTGATCTTATTAACAAATTAAGTAAATGCAATAATTTTTTAAGAATTTTATTAAAATTATATAAATTCTGTCCTTTATTTTTAAAATGCACACACATTTAAATAATAAACTATAACTTCTTTTTTTTATATAATTATCTGATATCCCGTATTATATTTGAAATTAGAGGTAGTTCTTTCAAAAATAGTTTTTTATATGTTCATGCAAACTTGAATATGTGATATTGTGATTAAGCAACCATGGTATCCTTTTCTACAATTAACACTTGTTGGTAATAATAAACTATGGCATATTTTAATTTAGATTAAATCACACGTGCATTTTTTAAAATTTTTGTTTGTAGAATCGTCTACATACCCATGCCTATTATTTTAAAAATTAACACAAATCTCCCACAAAAATTATTAAATTTACGTAAATCTTTGTCCACTTTGTAAACCTACATATTTTCATTGTATTTTTAGATATACGGATTGAATTTCTTTGCTGTCCCTTCGTCGGCATCCCCTCTTTTTTTTTTAAAAAAAAAAATTATACTGAAAGCAAAAGCCTAAAAAGGCTACAGATTATTATAGTTCATTTGAGGGGTTGATCCCTCATAATCAACCAAACCTACAAGTGGGATTGGTGAATGATCAAAAATACAAAAGGCTTCATCAAAACTAAAAGCATTCCTAGCAAAATAATCAACATATGTATTATCTTTATGGTACAAATGCTAAATATTAAAAGATTGTGCATTGACTAATATCTTTGAACGGGTAAGTTTCCTTGCATCCCTGAGTTAGCATTTTCACTACATCATTTATAATTGGCATCCCCTCTAATAAGAAATTCACTTACAACTTTAAAAAAATGTTGAGGAAATGAAAATAAATTACAGCAGAAAATTTGAATCATACAAACATGTTTTTTCTTGAAAATATAAAAAAAATTGTGTAATTTTAACAAAAGTTTAGCGAGTTTTGTGAAATTTGTCTTTTAAGCTTAAGAAGATAATTTTATGGGTTTTGAAAAAAAGCAATGTACTCTTAAACGTTTAAACTCTCAAATAAGGTTTGTGAAATTTATTTTTCATTTTTGAAGGAACTCAGAGATTCCGAAATAATGAAAAAGTTTTTATAGTTTTGGAGAAGATACAAGTAGCCCATTTTTTAATTTAATCCTAACTTGTATACCTAAAGTATCTTCAACTTAAATTTCTTATTTTAAAAACAATACAGTATTTTTTGGAACAAAAAAGCAATATATTCAAGTAATTTTTGGCGAAATAATTTAAATATTTGAAAGAGAACATTTTAACTTAGTTTTTAAAACATTTGTAGGAATACCCAATGAAACTGATCGAAAATTAATTAATTTTAAAAATTAGTTAAATGATTCACCGAATGAAGAACCCGTCAATTTGGTTCGATAACAAATCTATTTTTATGTTTTCAATATTCCTTCATTCTTAATAATGTGTCTTGAATTGCATTGATAAAAAAAAATGCATTTCATCTTAAAACACAAGTGAAAAAAAAAAGAAAAATTGTAGGAGAAGGTTGAAGTGGAGACGAAGAAGTTCTTTAACAAAAGCAAATACGAAAAAAGCGTGAAACTGAAATTTATAAAATATATTCAACTATTAATCGTTTCAATCACATATTTCTTTTAACAAACATTTTGTTTATATAATTATATGATCAGCCTCGAGCATACGGATGAAATATTTAAAATTTTTAAAAACATTTTTTCAGACAATAAAAATATTTCAAATAAAAAAATGGCTTGGTACTGATATATATTTAAATTTAAAAATAAATAATAATACTCTTTTTGTCTCAAATTATATGACACATTTAAAGAAGTTTTTCAATTTTAAAATAAAAGATACTTTATGTAGATTAAAATTTTATTAAACGTATCAATTCTAATATCACATTTTTCTTTCTCTAATTAATTTCTATCCCTTTATTTTTTAATATATTAAATAATAAATATTTTTAAAAATTTATATTTTTATTTTAAAAAGATAAAATTATTAAATATATTTAATAAAATTTATTAATATATAAAATTTTATTTAAAAATATTTTATAATTTAGAACCGTGCATGTTAACAAAATTAAAAAATTGCAGTAAAGACAAGTTAATAAACCCTAGTTCTGTGCAATAACAAATCTTCGCGGACATAAATCTTTACCGTCACTTAAAATCTAACGGCTTGGCTTCAGCATTAGTACTTATCACTGCCCTTCCTCTCCTTCCTTCTTAGTCGCAGTCTCTTCTCTGTTTCTCTTCTAACAGGGATGAAACCATGGTCGATCTTCATCGTTATCTCCTCTGAACCTGATCCTCGTATCATTGTCTAAATCTTAACCCGCGAGTCCAAACTCCATGCTTTACAATACAAGCAGAGATTTTCTATTCGTCCCCCTAACAAAAATTGAGTAATGGGTTGCGATAATCCTCAAAAAATAAACTTTTTGTAGCTTTAGCGAGAAAACTGTTCATACTTTAACCATTTTTATCTGATTATGTGCTTAAAGTTGCAGTCTTTGCGTGTGTATATTTTTTCACTAACCTGAGTTCTATCTAAATGTTCACCGATGAGTTCGGGCTCTGACACTAGTTACTCAAAGATGATGTCAGATGTAGCGATTCGATCGATGTTCAAAAACTCTGATTACGGTGAAGATTTGAGTATGCTGATTCGCCAACAGAGGCGGCAGCAACAACATCAAGAAGCGAGTGAGCGTGAGAGGGAACTTAATATGTACAGAAGTGGGTCGGCGCCTCCCACCGTAGAGGGCTCGCTTTCTGCTGTGGGTGCCTTGTTTGATACTTCGACGATGGTATCAGGTTTCGGCAAAGGCGGCGGAGAAGGAGGAAGGGGTTTTACGAGCGAAGAGGAGCTTCGTGCTGATCCAGCGTATGCAAATTATTACTATTCGAATGCAAATCCAAACCCACGCTTGCCGCCTCCGTTGGTGTCGAAAGAGGACTGGCGTTTCACACAGCGGTTAAGTGGTGGTATTGGAGACAGGAGGAATGGAGACAGCTCGCTTTTTTCGGTGCAGCCTCCGGGGTTCGATGGGAAAGAGGAGAATGGTGTGAATAAAAGAAAGAGTGCGGAGTGGGGCGGCAATGGGTTGATCGGGATGCCGCCGTTGGGACTTGGGAACAGGCAGAAGAGCATTACAGAGTTAATTCAAGTGAGCTTCTGCTTGCGCTGATTCGTCTCCTTATATCCTGTTTAAATTGATAGTTGCAATTTGTTTGGTTTGGATTGGACTTCTTTAGCTGTGGAATTGGACTTTGGGGTTTCATTCTCGGGTTTATTTTTCATAGATGTAGTTTTCATTTGCAGTAACTCCATAGTCTGCTGTAAAGGCATAATAACGGAATTTGAGTGAGTGACCTTACCTATATTACGAGGAAAGCAATGCATAACACCCTTAGGCAATGAGTTCCAGTGAAAATGCTTCGCATACTAAATGGCACGGGACAAGTCTTTCCTTTTGATTATTGCTGCTTTGCGTTGGTTTTTTTTTTTCCTTCCTCCCGGATCATTCTGTTGCCTCTTAACTATCTATGCCTATGTTCCTCAATTTTCAGCGAATTTCTGATTTTTTTGGGAGTCCATTTCCATTGTCTAAATTGATCATGCTTTGAAGAATTTGTTGGTACATGTATACCAGGTTTCATTCACATGAGCTTACAATTTTCTAGTGGTAAAAAATTTCATCATAAATTTCTTTTGATATTGTTAAACTGAGTATGAGCTAACATCATTGGCTTCTGTTAATAATTTTATGACCTGCATATTACTTCCTGAATTATCATTCTACTTATACTTTTCCTGCTGTTCTTTGGCATTTTTCCGAAGCAGGATGAGATAAATAATTCATCATCTTTATCTAATCATCGCCAATCTAGCTATAGTGTTTTTGACGACAGTGCTGAAAACCCAGAAACCCATTTTGCTCAGCTGCATCAGGATTTGGCAACTGCAGATGCTTTGCATTCTGGTGGGACCAAACTGGGCATATCTGCTGCTCAAAATCTTGGTGGATCAGCTTCTCAAACATACGCTTCTGCTTTGGGAGCTTCCTTGTCGAGGAGCACTACACCTGACTCTCAACTTCTAGCTAGAGCTCCTAGTCCTTGCCTTCCACCCATCGGGGATGGGAGATCTAACTCTAATGATAAAAAATGTTCCAGCGGTCAAAACTCATTTAATGCTGTATCATCCAGTTTAAATGAGCCTGCAGCTCTGGTGTCTGCTTTGGCTGGCATGAATCTGTCCCCAAACGGCATAGCAGATGATGAGAAACATTCCCCTGGGTGCAATGAATCTGAGCATACTCATGCTATCAATTATCATCCATTTCTTAACATGCCAGAAGCCCTGCCTTATCAGCTTCACTCTGCTCCCCAATTGACAAAAGCATCTCATTTGAAAGTAAACAATAGCAGCGGTTTCAGATTGGATCTAAATAACTCTTCATTAAATGCGAACGAGCAGTTAGAACATCACAACTCTGCTGGGATTTCTGTTCACTCAGGCTTAAAAGGACCTCCTACACAAACTCTTGCTGGCAGAGGAAACTCACTTGCTCATCGTCAGAATGTGGATGGTAGAAATATCTCATACCAAAACTATGGGTTGAGTGGGTATGCTGTGAATCCTTCTTCGCCACCAATTATGGCAAGTCAGCTTGGTTGTGGTAATTTGTCTCCTTTCTTTGAAAATGCTGCTGCCACCCTTGGAGTGAATAGCATGGACTCCGGAGCCTTAGGAGGAGGGGTAGCTTTAGGACCAAACTTGTTATCAGCGTCAGAGTTACAAAATGCAAGCAGGATGGTGAATAATGCTTCGGGTAGCGCTCATCAGGTGCCCTTAGTGGACCCTTTATATCTTCAATATTTATTATCAGGTGAAGTTGCAGCTGCACAGGTTGCAGCCCTTAATGACCAAGCAATAAATAAGGAATGCTCAAGTAATTCATTTACAGATTTGCTTGGTCTCCAAAAAGCTTACGTAGAGTCATTGATTGCTCCTCAAAAATCACAGTTTGCTGTTCCTTACCTTAACAAGTCTCCTAGCCTGAACAACACCTATTTTGGAAATCCAACATTTGGTGTGGGAGTGTCATATCCAGGTAGCCCAGTGACTGGTTCCTTCTATCCAAACTCACCCCTTGGACCAGGTAGTCCTATGAGGCAAAGTGAGCGTAATATACGTTTATCTGGGATGAGGAATGTGGCTGGGGGTTTCATGGGAGCTTGGCATGCCGATTCTGTTGGCAACTTGGATGAGAATTTTGCACCATCCTTGTTGGATGAATTCAAAAGTAATAAAACCAAATGTTTTGAGCTGTCAGAAATTGCTGGTCATGTTGTTGAGTTCAGGTGCATGGATGCTGCTGGTCATAGTTTTTATGTTTCTTGACTTTGAATAAAGGTCTAATTCTTGTTTTTAATGTTTTTCCTTTCCTTACACAGTGCTGACCAATATGGAAGCCGATTTATCCAACAGAAACTTGAGACTGCCACAATGGAAGAGAAAAACATGGTTTTCAATGAAATCATGCCTCAAGCTCTTTGTCTAATGACTGATGTTTTTGGTAATTATGTAATTCAGAAGGTAATATGTTCTTTCATTTATATCTATCCGAAGTATCCTTTGATGTACTATTTTAGTTTGTATAACTGTTTTCTATTTTGCTCAAGTGAGTGAGATATTCCTGTTGGACTTCATGCTTAACTCATGCTGGTCCTTGTTTAGTTTTTTGAGCATGGAACATCAGCACAGATAAGAGAACTTGCTGAGCAGCTTACTGGTCATGTTCTGACCCTAAGTCTTCAAATGTATGGCTGCCGAGTTATCCAGAAGGTATTCTCCTTGCTTGATCCGCCTTATTATTGTCTCCTTTAACTGCATGTGTCAGTTTGCGAAGTGCACTACGTTGTGGACTTAGCAGGTTCTATTTGCTGAAAAGACAGATGCTTTTCATGTACCCTCTATGAGGAAAACTAAGAACAAGTTACGCAAACATTCCCCCAGCTTCTACATTAAATTCATCCATATCATTATATCACCATTAAGAGGTTTGCAGAGGGAGACACCCGGGGGTGGTACAGGCGGAGTTGGTAGCAGTCAGATATTTTAATTTCTTATTTCCCTAATTTCAAATTGCTAGAATGCCTTACAGTTTAGGTGAGCATCTGCAGATGAGAGACAATGTCTTTTTTGGTTTGACCTAGTCATGCGTAACTATACCTAGTCATGCGTAACTATTCCTTGTGTATTTTGTCACATATGTTGACTTATTAGTGTGTTGTAAATGATAATTGCTGTTTGTATTACTTTTTAGGCTATAGAAGTTGTTAATCTGGATCAACAGACTAAAATGGTAGCAGAGCTGGATGGTCATATAATGCGCTGTGTACGTGATCAAAATGGAAACCATGTAATCCAGAAGTGTATTGAATGTGTACCTGAAGATGCTATCCACTTTATAGTTTCTACATTTTATGACCAAGTTGTGACATTGTCAACTCATCCATATGGTTGCCGTGTGATACAGGTCAATGACACCTTTTTTTTTTTTTGGGTCAAAGTTACTATGTGGGCACTTCTTTTCTGTATTGACACTTCGACATATAAGAATGATAAGTTTGAACTTGATATTTCTCTGTAAACAGAGAGTCTTGGAGCATTGCCATGATCCCAAAACACAGCAGATAATGATGGATGAGATTCTGCAGTCTGTTTGTATGTTAGCACAGGACCAATATGGGAATTATGTTGTACAGGTTTGTTTAATTCTCAGTCTTACTTGCATCCTATCAGTGTCAATTTGTGATTTTATGATTAAACATGATAGTAAGTGCATATTAAATTGAGTGTTACTTCGAACAATTTTGATCTTTTTTGTTATGAATTCATTATGAGTAAATGTATAGGTGTTCAATACAATAACAACAAGTCTTATCTCACTAGGTGGGTTCGCTACATGGATTGCACGACACTGTTGTGTTTTATTGTCAGCCAAGCTTTTAGAAATATTTAACTAAGAGGTCTCATTCAATAACTTCAATGAGTGTTCTCTTTGATTTTTCTCTACCTCTCTTTACAGGGCTCAAGATTATTCGTTCCAGTCTTCTCACCAGTGCCTTCCACTGCTTTCTTTGTACATGTTGAAGTCATTTTTCCTTAGTAGATGCCCCATTTTTTCTCATATATGTTTATTTCATATTTCATCTTTTCATGTATGCTTGTATATCCATATCAACATTCTCATGTTTGTTATTCCAACTTTATGTTCCTCCTGTCCCTTTAAATCTTAACATTTATTACCATATAATATGGCTAGTCTTGAAACAGTTCGATAAAACTTCTTTTTAAGTTTATTAGGTAGCTTTCGATCATAAATAACTTCTTTAACCTTTTTTAAATTAAACCACCTAGCTTGTATTTTATATGTAACATCTCCATCAATTTCCCCATTATGTTGAATAATAGCTCTCAAATATTTAAACTCTTCCACTTAGGGTATAATTTGATCTCTCAATCTCACTTCCAAACTATTATTGATTGACCTCTTATCAAAATTACACTGCAGATATTTTGTCTTACTTTTACTTAGGTGGAAACCTTTCGACTTTAAAGTCATTTTTCATAATTCAGTTTGTAATTAATCTCTTCTCTTCTCTCCGTAATAAGAACATGTGTTCAATGTATGAACTAAAACATCTATGTTGGTTGAGTAATTAAAAAATATGTGAAGATCTTATTTATCAATCCTGGTTTGACCTGGCTTGTTGGACTGAAAATCGTTGTTTTAAATCCAAAGTTGAGTCATGTCTCCTATTAGACCATAAGTGCACAAAAATAGGCAGACTTGCTTTTGATATGTTCATCGTCCTGTATGATCCAGTTTAACTGTTATTACTACTACTTTAATCTTATCTACCAGTATTGCTGTCATTTGGTTAACCGCCTATTGAAATATGAGAAAAATGTAATTCACTGTGTAATTAGACATCTGTATATTCCTGTACGGTTCATTTTTTATTGAGAGCATATGTTATCCTCCCTTGTTATGCTCGACACTGGAGGTTCAGAAAGCAGTTGATAGGTGACATCAAAAATATTGAATAACCATGTATAATAATGATTATGGTTTCCTTTTAAAAAATATAATTGTAGTTTACCTTGAATGATGGTAGCTAATAAATTGAATCTTTATTAAAGGGATAAATATATATATATATATATATATGCTGTTAGATCAGATTTACTTTTCTAATATATATATGTACATATTAAAATTAAAATATATAAATATTAAAACTTTTAAAGAAATATCTTATCATGTTTATGTTTAAATATTCAAATTTCTATCATAATGCATGGTTGAAAGATTGATTTAGTGCCCCAATGACTCGGTGGTAAGGTATTGAAAATTGAACTAGTTATTGAATTGGTCAAGGCTCTGGTTTAAGGGTTAATGATAAAAATTATAGTTAAATTGTGATCAGACCGGTCATAACCAAAGAATTTTATTCAATTTATCAAGGCATTGGTTTAACGATTTACCAGTTCAATCAAGCAAGTTGACCTAGATTTTCATACTATGCTTAGTAGCAATGGTGTTTGCCTAGAGTTATGGCTATTGAAGAAGCAAGGACATGGATTGAATATGGTTAAAAAATGAGAGGGTCATTTTTCCTATAAAGGAACACTTGCTGAATAATGCTGAAGTATGAATTATGGCAAGTAGTTGGGTAGACTACGAAATGATGTAAGCCAGATGGCTCTAATGTGATGCTTAATGACTTGATCTCAATGTTTTCTTGAGTTAGTTGGCAAATGCATGCTTTTGTCAGGATTCAATTTTTTTTTTTTAAAGACTGAACTAGCTTTAAAACGTCTATGTTCTTGTAATGGAATTCATCCTTTCTTTCAGCTCATTTGTGTTATTTTTCTGATTATTGCATAAAATTCAGCATGTACTGGAGCATGGGAAGCCACATGAACGCTCAGCTATTGTGAAGCAATTAACTGGACAAATTGTGCAGATGAGCCAGCAGAAGTTTGCCTCTAATGTTATAGAGAAGTGTCTAACTTTTGGAACACCAACAGAACGCCAGACCCTAGTGAATGAGATGCTTGGTTCCACTGATGAAAATGAGCCCTTACAGGTTTGTGGTCCCTATCAGAGGGAGTGAAGCTTTGAGACACATTTTTCCCCTTTGTATTGTGTTTCTCTGAGCTTCGGAATCTTCTATGCCTGTTTTTATGATATCTAATGCTCTCAGTTAATTCTTATATCCTACTTAAGCACCTTTCAGATTGGTTTTTATGATCTCTTTTTAATTTTCCAATTATACATGTGAGGCTATTAGGTGAGATAAAACGGCTAAGTTATTCCAGATTATTGAGTGTGCTCAATGAGAGGTCTTGATAATCTGTGAAGTGTAGATATGGTTGATCATAGCCATAAAGGAACATCTCTTGATAATCTGTGAAGTGTAGGGATGGTTGATCATGGCCATAAAACAACTGAATTTGTTTGTCATGGTTATAGAAGCTCTGCCATGCATGCGGATGTAATGTAATATAACAAATTATTTGCATCATGTTGTATTTCTGTTGAAATCTGTTGGTAGGAGACCAGCTTTATCTTGGGGAACAGGATGTGAAAGCGAACTCTTACTTCCACAGAATACATTTCTTGTTCATTCTGTTTTTATTGTTATTTAAGATTTTATGTAATTTCATTGTATTTCAGGTTTTCTCATCTTTTGCTTGGTCCGTTGGTTGTAGGTAATGATGAAAGATCAGTTTGCAAACTATGTTGTACAGAAGGTGCTGGAAACTTGTGATGACCAACAGCTTGAGCTCATCCTTAATCGAATAAAGGTTCACCTGAACGCGTTGAAGAAGTATACTTATGGGAAGCACATAGTTGCACGTGTAGAGAAACTGGTTGCTGCTGGAGGTATTTATCATTTTTCTAATCTTTTTCTCTCATTTTGGGTCATGCATATAAACAGAGCATCATGAATCTGAACATCTGTTACTTCGGTAATGCTTGGGCTATAGTCATGATCATCATGATGAATTTTTTTCCATTGCGAGTCCTTTGACCTCTTATTTCTTCCATCCTAAAGAATATGTGGAGTGGACTTGCCGATGCATTTTGATCACTTTTATTTCCATGTACTGAAATCTTTTCAAAGAACTGAATAAGTTTTTATGGTGTCTGTTCTCTTATCATCTAGTGCTGAAAAATATCAATCTGTCTATCTTATGCATAACATCCAATTTTTGCATTTTTATGTATGCAGAAAGGAGGATCAGTCTGACTCTTCATCCTGCACAGATGGTATAGGAAATGAAAGTTATTGTACGGCTAACTGAGTATAATGCGAGCTCCTTCTCTTGTTAATTTTCGTATCCGGCGGTTGCCATCTGTTGGTTGACGGATGGGAGCCTATGGGAATAAGGAATCATGGGGTGTACTCAAAACTGTATATTTGTTAGTTTGAGGGTATATATATATATGTCTAGAATGAGAATCGGGTTAGCTGACGCCAGGGCTGTGAATGACAACGCCTGATGCCCAAGAAGAGATAAATTTGTTCCCTAGTTTTCTAGTTGTAAAGGTAGGTGGTTTTTTCCTTCACTATTGTGACTGTAAAATATGTTCTGTACTGAGTTGCGAGATTCCTTGTGTTTGAGGCCCACAATTTTTGTGGTGCATGAGATTTCAATTTTCTCCCAAGGTTACGCTACTCTTATCAGTTTTGTTTCCTGTTGTTAATGATTTTTTCTTGCCTTTACGCGACTAGGGGTTGTATATATACTTGTAAGTTAAAAACTAAAAGATGTCAATATGTGCTAATATTTCTAAGCTTGATTATAAGGATTAGATCATTTGATAAAATCATTTGTCCCACTGATTCTTAGCTCCTTGAGATTGTGGGTATTTTACTAGCTTTAGCTAGCCTTTTTGAGGAGGAAAAAAAAAAAAGATCATTTGATAAAATATATGGAGATTGAAAGCATTGCTAAGTCTTTTATTAATTTGATCACTGCTCAAATATGAAAGAACTCGAAAAAGGTGCTGCGGTGTTTTTATTAGGACTGTTCTAAATTTTGGTGTTATTAGTCGGCTTGGAGCTTGAGAAAATCAAGGGCTTTTCCATCGAGTTTCCTGCCCAAGAAGTGCCTCAGATAGTCGACACACTTGATGGTTCGGTACGTGGCAGGAGCATCACGCAGGATTGGTTCCACGGGACCAATTTCTGCTTCATCATGCGGAATCACAAACGTTGCTATTGAAATTCTTGCTCTGCTTTCATTCGTCACCGCTCTGTGCTGAACACTCTTGTACCTCCCATTGCTCCAAACCTGCATTATTGGATTTAAATCACTTTTCATGGGTGATATCCCATGTATGAATGCAAACAGATGAACTGAAATTGTGGGTACCTCGAGAGTATCCCCAACATTGACAACAAGAGCACAAGGAAGAGGTTTGACAGGAAGCCAATGGCCTTGGTGATGAATCTGAAGAGCAGTGATATGATCATCTTGCAGAAGCATCGTTATGGTGCCACTATCAGAGTGAGGACTGACCCCAAGAACAAGGTCAGGTTTGGGGCATGGTGGATAGTAGTTCATACGCATTCCTAATTTGACCACTTGGTGCAACTCTTTTAGACCTTCCTCTTCCATTCCCATCAACAATGATAAATTCCCAAGAATCTCTTCACTTACCCTGCATATTTCTTTCGTGTATTCTTCTACTGTCTCCCTGTGTCCATGTAGGTTAAAAAGAAATTTTGTGAACATTTTCTAAGTTATAGCTACAGAGTTGTGAGAGATGTTAACTATGAGCATTTCAATTGAAAAAAGAAAAAGTAACAATGGTCGAACAATCTCAACTCACACTGAACATGTCACAAAAAAGAAGAGTTTATCGAAAAAGGAAAGAATGTATTTAGAGGAGAACATGAGTATTGAAAACATACTTGAAACCTGGTACCGCAAGTGGCCAGTATTTAAGGTTTCTATATTGAGGAGGGTAGGTCATGAGAAACATGAGGTCAGCCCAATCCAATTTCTGATCTTCTGAGAACACAAAGGCGTGCCCATATCCCTGTAAGTCATTTTCTGCCATTGAATATTTCTGTTTGTCCTCCATTTCCAGATCGAAGAATCCTGTTCCTGCACCCTTCATCTTCTGTAGCAACTCTTCTCCCACCCCATGATTTATTATCTATATAAATGATTTCAGAGGCTATCTTTAGAATTTTCCAACACAATACTCTGTTCTCATGGGGAATCAAAGAATCAAAGAAAAATTCAAATAATGTTTTGACGGTGTACCTGGAAGAAGCCCCACTCCTTGCAGGCAGAATCAAGCTTTTTTTGTTCATATTGGTCTCTTTTGGCGAGCAATGAGAAATCTATGACAGGAACTTCAGAAGAAATTGGACGTTGATCAAAAACTGGTCTGTCTGCGTGGTCTCTTATGTATCTGTGAGGAACGGTGTGAGGGTCAATCTTCACCATCTCTTGCACGCGTGGCACTGGTAAGGATTTTCCCCAGCCCAAACCCTCATCCTTTTCCATGCAGCTTTTGCTTTCTAGTTTCACTTCCATTGTTTCTCTCTAGTTCCTTCCTCACCTTGGAAATCAAGCTTTTGCTTTTTTGTTTTTATAGTTCAAATTGGTCTTAGGATTTGAACCCTTTCCATTAGTTTGTCAGCCGGCCTTCTTGTTTGAGGTTGTAAAGGGAAAATCATATTCAATGATCCTCAAGCAAATTATATCCAAATAAAGATTAATAACAGATTTCATTTAAGAAAAAATAAATCACAATTTCCATTTTAACAATAATATATTTTGTATTGATCTTTGTTTATGAATAATTGTCTTGATTAGTCTTTAAATGTGATTCTCCCAATAAAAAAAACAAGAGAGGAATCTATATGTAATTTGGTAATATTTTGTGATCAGATTCCTCCTCGAAACATGTAAAATGCACGATGCTCCATTAATAAACTAGTGTAAAATTTTTTTAACTAAACGATGCATGCTATATTTTATTCGAAAAAGTTTATGATAGTGATATATGAGAATAGTACTTGAACTTAATATCGAAAGTGTTTATATATTTTTCACTGATAGGTGGTTTGGCTCATCCAACCTATTGCGTAAGTTAAGTTTTGGTTTTTAATTATCAAATTAGAGTGAGCAAAATCAACTAACTTGCTTATTATCCGCTCTATTCATCTTCTGCATTAAGACCCCCCGGGAGTAAACTAAATGATTTATTACCTACATAAATAATTTTAGTGCTGTATTCAGAATTTTCCAACACAATACACCGTTTTCGTAACGAGTCAAGTAATCTTAGTAGCTCCAAATAACTTTTTGACTGGGTTTACCTAGAAGAAGCCCCACTTCTTGCAAGAAAAATCAAGCTTCATTTGTTCATGTTAGTCTCTTTTGGCCAGCAATGAGAAATCTATGTCTCTTTATGTATCTGTGAGGGATAGTGTGAGGGTCAATCTCTATCTCTTGCACAAGTGGCAATGGTTGCTTCAGGCTCAAGTTAATTATTTATAATAGAAAAAATATAATCTTTAGTCCCTATAGTTTTATTAAATTTTACTTTTAATCTTTATAATTTTTTTTTCTAGTGTTTTTAGTTCCTATAGAGACTAAAACCATTGAAAAAATGAAAACTGTAGAGACCTAAAAAATAAAGATCACCCGATCTTTTTGAAACTATAGAAGTTAAAAGCACTAGAAAAAAACTATATAGACTAAAAACAAAACTCGATGAAACTTTAGGGACCAAATATTGTGTTTCCCTATATAATATTCTCTAGTTAAAACTGAAAGATATTAACATATATTACTAGCATTGAAGCTTCATTATAAGGATTAAGGATCAAACCATTTAATAAAATAGAGATTAGAAGTACATTAAGGGCATGTTTGGTTTTTATTCTCATTTTTTATTTTTAAAAACTGTTTTGTATTATGGTTTTCAATTTTCTTTTTCACAACAAAACAAAATAAAAATTTGTTTAGTTACATTATGTTAAAAATAGCTTTAAAATTAAAAAATAGGCTGATAGTAATAATTATATGTGGTTAATGATTATGATTTATGATAAACATTAGTCAACCTATTGTAATTTATAATAATTAAATGTAATGCATTTTGAAAAAAAAAATTTGAAGAAGTTTCTATTTTTTTTTACAAAAATAAAAAGTTTAGAAAATAATTTAATTAAAAATACTTATTCAAATGAGTTTTTGAATTTTTTATTTTTTAAAAACAAAACTTTGTTCTTTAAAATAGAAAACAAACGGGCCTTCTCTTGCTAACTTAATCACTGATCAAATATGAAGAAACTTGAGAAAAACAGTTTACACAGAAGTTTTATTTGGCCTGTTTTAAAATTTGGTAATATTTGTTGGCTTCGAACTCGAGAAAATCGAGGGCTTTTCCATCGAGTTTCCTGCCTGAGTAGTGCCTCATCTAGTCCACATACTTGATGCCTTTGTACATGGCGGGAGCATCGCACAGCATTGGCTCTACTGGACCCATTTCTGCTTCATCATGTGGAAACACAAATGTTTGCTCTGCTTTCGTTTGCCAAACCTCTGTGCTGAACACTCTTGTACCTCCCATTACTCCAAACCTGCATTATTGTATCCAAATCATAGCTGAACGCCATGTTTGAATGCAAAGTTTGAATAGAAGACCATGTTTAGATGAATTGAAATTGTGGGTACCTCAAGAGTATCAGCAACGTTAACAACAAAAGCTCCAGGAAGAGGCTTGACAGGAACCCAATGGCCTTGGTGATGAATCTGAAGAGCAGTGATATGATCATCTTGCAGAAGAAAGGTTATGGTGTCACCATAAGAGTGAGGACTGATCCCAAGGACAAGCTCAGGTTTGGGGCATGGAGGATAGTAGTTCATACGCATTGCTAGTTTCACCACTCGGTGTAACTCTTTTAGACCTTCCTCTTCCATTCCCATCAACACTGATAAATTCCCAAGTATCTCTTCACTTACCCTGCTTATTTCTGTAGTGTACTCTTCCACTGACTCCCTGTCCATGTTTTTCTTTATTGTAAAGAAAGAAACTTTGGAAACAGTTTCTACCAACATTTATAAGAGTTCTAAGAGACGTTAGCTTTAGAGTATATCAATTTGGGAAAAAAAGAAAGTACCAATAGCCGAACAATCTTGATTCATACTAAACATGCCCAGTAAAATAGTTACTAGGAAAATAACGTATTATGAAAAGAACATGAGTATTGAGCATATATTTGAAACCTGACACTATAAGTGGTCAGTACTTGAGATTTCTGTAAGGAGGAGGGTTGGCCATTAGGATCATGATGTGTGACCAATCCAATTTCTGATCTTCGGAGACCACAAAGGCTTGACCATATCCTTGTATGTTATTTTCTTCCATTGAATATTTCTGCTTTTCCTCCATTTCCAGATCAAAAAATCCTGCCGCTGCTCTCTTCATCTTCTGCATTAAGTCTTCGCCCACCCCATGATTCATTACCTATATAAATAATTTTAGAGGCTGTTTTCAGAATTTTCCAATACAATACATGTTTTCGTGAGGAATTAGATAATCTTCGTAGCTCCAAATAACATTTTGACTGGATTTACCCGGAAGAAGCCCCACTCCTTGCAAGCAGAATCAAGCTTCTCTTGTTCATGTTGGTCTCTTTTGGCCAGCAATGAGAAATCAATGACAGGAACTTCAGAAGAAATAGGATAAAGTTGATAAAAAACTGGTGTATCTTTGTGGTCTCTTATGTATCTGTGAGGAACAGTTTGAGGGTCAATCTTCACCATCTCTTGCGCACATGGCACTGGTAAGGATTTTCCCCTCCTTTTCCAGGCGGCTTTTGCTTTCTAATTCCACGTCTATTGTCGCTTCCCACTCCCCAGTTCCTTTCTTACCATAAAAATGAAGCTTTTCCCTTTTGTTTTATAGATCAATATGGTGTTACAACCCTTTTCATTGCTTTTACTCAGCTGGGCTTCTTTTTGGATGTTCTAAATTAAATAAAAAAAAAAGGAATCTGTATGTAATTTTTTAACACTTCTTGGATCAAATTCCTCATTAGAACATGTCAAAAGTCAAACGTATGAGGCTCCAATAATGTCAATAGCTTATGAAAGTGACACATGGCCGTAAGGGAATAGTGCTTAAATTAAAATACTTTGGTATGCATATGTAAGTATTAAATATTTATTTTTTAAGAGTTAATTAGGTAGGTTGGCTTTTGTCATCCTGTGGATTAAGTGGAGTTTTATTTTCAACCCTTGAACTTTAATGGATTTAATTACAATTGGTTTAGCTTATGAGTTAGCCTTTTTCAACTCACGTAGCCTATTTTGCTCTAGTTGCTTCATTTTATCAATAACATGCGACTTTTGCAAATTGCAATTGATGTTATGCAGAAAGCAAAATAAATCTGACCACTTCAGACTAATTATATATAATACTCTCCAGTTAAAACTGAAATGTTCACATATGTTTTAGTAAATAAGCTTTAGATTATAAGGATTAAATTTCTTTTCATAAAATATAGATATTAAGAGTATAGTTAAATATCTAGTTATATATTGATGAAAGAGAATGCAAAAGGAGACACAACAAAGAAACTTGTATTCGTCCTGTTTCTGCTCCCTCAGCTTTGTAATCCATTATTAAAGCTGTTTTTTTGTTTTCTTGCCTTTATATGCGCTACTATGGATTATATACACAGTCTTAAGTTTTTTGACCAACTATAGAGTCTTAAGTTAAAAACTAAAAGATGTTAATACGTACTAACATATACGCTTGATTATAGGTATTAAGGATTGAATCATCTGATAAGATAAAAAGATTGAAGGTATAGATAAGTCTCTTATTAACCTGATCACTGCTCAAATATGAAAGAACTTGAAAAAGAAAGGTGAGACAATTTTTATTAGGCCGTTCTAAATTTTGGCATTATTGGTTGCCTTGGAGCTTAAGAAAATCAAGGGCATTTCCATCGAGTTTCCTGCCTAAGAAGTGCCTAATATAGTCAATGCACTTGATGTTTCTGTACATGGCAGGAGCATCACGCAGCATTGGTTCCAATGGACCCATTTCTGCTTCATCGTGTGGAGTCACAAACATTACAATTGACATTCTTGCTCTGCTTTCATTTGTCACTACTCTGTGTTGAACACTCTTGTACCTCCCATTGCTCCAAACCTGCATTGTTGGATCCAATTCACAATCTCACAAGCATATTTAGTAGAAGATGAATTGAAGGGTATAGATAGATGAATTGAATTGCTCGTATTTACCTCAAGAGCATCGCCAACGTTGACAACAAAAGCACCAGGAAGAGGCTTGACAGGAATCCAATGGCCTTGGCGATGAATCTGAAGAGCAGTGATGTGATCATCTTGCAGAAGAATGGTTATGGTGCCACCATCAGAGTGAGGACTGATCCCAAGAACAAGGTCAGGTTTGGGGCATGGTGGATAGTAGTTCATACTCATTCCTAGTTTGACTACTTGGTGCAACTCTTTTAGACCTTCCTCTTCCATTTCCATCAACACTGATAAGTTCCCAAGTATCTCCCCACTTACCCTGTTTATTTCTCTCGTGTATTCTTCCACTGTCTCCCTGTGTCCATGTAGGTTAAAAATGAACTATGGAAACATTTTCAAAGACTCAAAGTAATAGTTACAGAGTTGTGAAAGATGTTAACTTTGAGTATTTCAATTGAAAAAAGAAAGACTAACAATGGTCGAACAATCTTAACTCATGCTGAACATGGCACCAAGAAAAAAAAGAGTTTGTAGAAAGAGGAAAGAATGTAATGTATTAAGAGGAAAACATGAGTATTGAAAGCATACTTGAAACCTGGTACCGCAAGTGGCCAGTATTTAAGGTTTCTATATTGAGGAGGGTAGGTCATGAGAAACATGAGGTCAGCCCAATCCAATTTCTGATCTTCTGAGAACACAAAGGCGTGCCCATATCCCTGTAAGTCATTTTCTGCCATTGAATATTTCTGTTTGTCCTCCATTTCCAGATCGAAGAATCCTGTTGCTGCACCATTCATCTTCTGTAGCAACTCTTCTCCCACCCCATGATTTATTATCTATATAAATGATTCCAGAGGCTATATTTAGAATTTTCCAACACAATACTCTGTTTTCACGCGTAATCAAAGAATCATTAAAAACCTCAAATAATGCTTTCACTAGTGTACCTGGAAGAAACCCCACTCCTTGCAGGCAGAATCAAGCTTCTTTTGTTCATGTTGGTCTCTTTCGGTTAGCAATGAGAAATCTATGACAGGAACTTCAGAAGAAATTGAAGAAAGAGGATCAAAAATTGGTCTGTCTTTGTGGTCTCTTATGTATCTGTGAGGAACAGCGTGAGGGTCAATTTTCACCATCTCTTGCACGCTTGGGACTGATAAGGACTTTCCCACCCTAAACCCTCATCCTTTTCCATGCAGCTTTTGCTTTCTAATTTCACTTCCAGTGTTGCTTCCCACTCCCCAGATCATTTCTCACCATAAAAATGAAGCTTTTCCCTTTTGTTTTATAGAGCAATCTGGTATTAGAACCCTCTTCCTCCTTGCTTTTTATTCAGCCTGCCTTCTTTTTGGATGTTCTAAATTAAAAAAAGAAGAAGAAGAAGAATCTATGTGTAATTTTTTTTTTCCTGACAATTTTGTGATCAGATTCCTCATGAGAACATGTCAAAAGTCAAATGAATGAGGCTCCAATAATGTCAAAAGCTTATGACAATGAGGAGACTCCAATTTTGCTCTAATTTTCTCATTTTCTTAAGGACAAAATAGCAAATTGACCTATAAATTATTTGTTTAGGAATATCTCGAATCCTAAAATTATTTTGTGAAATATTTTTTTAATTTTTAAAAAAAATACAATTTGACCCTTTTCATTAATAAAAGTTAAGTTTAACTAATTAGAAAATGATGAAAAAACACCTTAAAAATTAAAAAAATTACAGTTAATAACTAATCAGATTGTAGACAAGGATCTAAAAAATTATAAAAAATGACCAAAAAAATTTTATTGATTCTTTTCTATAAATTTTGGATGTTCTAAATTAAAAAAAAAAGAATCTATATGTAATTTTTAAAACATTTTTGATCAAATTCCTCATTGGAACAAGTCAAAAGTCAAATGTCCGACGCTCCAATAATGCAAAATGTATACATTTCTATTGAACTACGTACTTGTTCTATTTTAAGTGAATCTTCTGAAAGTGATGTATGGCTGTATGGGAATAGTATTCAAACAACAATATTGAAGTACGCGTCTGTAAGTATTAAATATTTTTTTTAGAGTTAATTAGGTAGGTTGGCTTGTTTATTCTGTGGATTAAGTGGGGTTTTATTTTCAACCCTTGATATTCTAGTGGATTAAATTCCAATTTGTTTAGCCTATGAGTTGGTTTGTTTTAGCTCACGTAGCCTTTTTTGCTCTATGTGCTTCATTTTATATGTAACATGCAATGGATGTTATGCAGAAGGCAAAACTAGTCGCTGCCCACTTCAGGCTAATTTTATATAATGCCCTCCAGTTAAAACTGAAAGATATTCATATGTTTTAGTAAATAAGCTTTAGATTATAAGGATTAATTTTTTTTTCATAAAATATGGAGATTAAGAGTATAGTTAAGTCTCTTGTTATATATTAAGCCTGATCCTTCTCAGTTTTGTATTATGTTATCAACTTGACCATTGCTCGAATATGAAATGACTTGAGAAAGAAAAGTGCACCAGAATTTTTAATCGGCCTGTTATAAATTCTGGCATTATTTGTTGGCCTGAAGCTTAAGAAAATGAAGGGCTTTTCCATTGAGTTCCCTGCCCAAGAAGTGCCTCATATAGTCAATGCACTTGATGCTTCTGTACATGGCAGGAGCATCACGCAGAATTGGTTCCAGTGGGCCCATTTCTGCTTCATCATGTGGAGACACACACGTTGCCATTGAAATTCTTTCTCTTCTTTCATTTGTCACTGCTCTGTACTGAAAACTCTTGTACCTCCCATTGCTCCAAACCTGCAATATGGTATTCAACTCACAATCACATAGCTGATATTATACACCCTTTATTAATACAAGCTTGAGCAGAAGACTGTATATATGTAGGTGAATTGAAATTGTGGGCACCTCAAGAGCATCACCGACGTTGACAACAGAAGCACCAGGAAGAGGTTTGACAGGAATCCAACGGCCTTGGTGATGGATCTGAAGAGCAGTGATGTGATCGTCTTGCAGAAGAATACTAATGGTGCTACTATCTGAGGACTGATACCAAGAACAAGGTCAGGTTTGGGGCATGGTGGATAATAGTTCATACGCATGCCTAGCTTCACAACTTGGTGCAACTCTTCTAGACCTTTATCTTACATTACACCGATAAATTCCCAAGTGTCTCTTCATTTATCCTGCTTATTTCTCTTGTGTAATCTTCCAGTGTTTCCCTGTTCATGTGGGTTTTGTTTATTATGAAGAAAATTTTTTGAAAGATATTAACTTTCCAAGCAATCTTAAGCCATACTGTAACATTCCATGTAAAAATAGTTACATTGGAGGAGAACATAGGTATTGAACAAATACTTGAAACCTGGTATTGTAAGTGGCCAGTACTTGAGATTTCTATATTGAGGAGGGTTGGTCATTAGGATCATGATGTCAGACCAATCCAATATCTGATCTTCTGAGACCACAAAGGCTTGACCATATCCCTGTATGTCATTATCTGCCATTGAATATTTCTGCTTTTCCTCCATTTCCAGATCAAAAATCCTGCCCCTGCTCTCATCATTTTCTGCATTAAGTCATTATCTATACAAATGAATCTAGAAGCTGTATTTAGAACTTTCCAACAGAATACTGTTTTCATGAGGAATCAGAGAATCATTAAAAACTCCAAATAATGTTTTCACTGGTGTACCTGGAAGAAACCCCACTCCTTGCAGGCAAAATCGAGCTTCTTTTGTTCATGCTGGTCTCTTTTCGGCCAGCAATGAGAAATCTATGACAGGAACTTCAGAAGAAATTGGAGAAAGTTGACAAAAAATGGGTCTGCCTTTGTGGTCTCTTGTGTATCTTTGAGGAACAGTGTGAGGGTCAATCTTCACCATCTTTCGCACACGTGGCACTGGTAAGGATTTTCCCCACCCCAAACCCTCATCCTTTTCCATGCAGCTTTTGCTTTATATTTTCACTTCCATTGTTTCTCTCTTGTTGCTTCCTCACCTTGGAAATCAATCTTTTGCATTTTTGCTTTTATACTTCAATTTGGTCTCAAGATTTGAACCCTTTCCATTGGTTTGTCAGCTGGCGTTCTTGTTCAAGGTTCTAAAGAAAAAAACAAAAGAGGAATCTATATGTAATTTCATAATATTTTGTGATCAGATTCCTCCTTGAAACTTGTCAAATACACGATGCTCCCACAAGAAACTAGTGTATAGTTTTTTAGCCAGATATACGTGTTACATTTTATTTGAAAAAGTTTATGACAGTGATATATGAGAATAATACTTAAATTTACACATTGGAGGTGTTCATGTATATTAAGTATTTTAACTTTTTTCAGTTAGGTGGTTAGGCTCAGTCAACCTACTGCATAAGTAAAGTTTTGATTTTTAATTATCAAATTAAAGTGAGCTAAATGAGCTAACTTGTTGAATTTACATCTTATTGTGGGTTGGTCTCTTTAATTCACTTGCTTCATTTGGATGACTCTAGCTACTCCATCATGTATATAACATATATTAAAAATAGGAAGCGATCACCTGAAAAAGGGGAGAGAGGAGAAATGGATAAGAGTAGTGGAAAGACGCTATATTTTAACTCAAAATTTCAAAATTCAAGTTTATGAATCTTTTCTCTTCTTATATTAATTATTAAGCTCAAAACATAGAATGTTTTCTATATTTTTTTAAGTCCACTTACATTTGGGCAACCTAACAACATGTAATTTTTTTTTAATATTCCATATTAAAATTTGGAGTGGTATGTGAAAGGGGGAATGACAGTTTGGGGTTGATAGATAAATTTAGTTTCATTTTGGAATCGAGACATTACAAAATTACAATTTAGGACCTTCGGCTTAAAGTTCGCAAAATTATTAGTAGCAAGTCGCCATATCTTGTATAAAAGTTGGGAAAGTAATTGTCAAATCCCTACACTTAAAATTTAGAACATAAGTAGAAAATTTTTATATTTCAATGTCAAATTGTGGAAAGTAACTATACAGTTCTCTACTTAGATTTTTTGAAAACCAAAGGTCCTAAACTATAATTTTATAATGTCTTAATCTTAAAATAAAATAAAATTAATATATTAGTCCCATAAGGAAACGAAAATGAAAGTTATTGCACGCCTAACTGAGTATGATACTTGTGTTAACTTTCAAATCCCACCCAGCTTTGGTGATACTGCCTCATGTTAATTAGCATATATATAACACTGTCAAGTTTAAACAGAAAGATATTCATACGCTTTGGTAAATAAGCCTTCAAATATTTTTCATAAAAATAAACATCAAGAGAATAGTTAAGTCACTTATTATTCACTGACGAAAGATCTTGAAAGAAGAGGCATAACATAAGAACTTTGACTTGGCCCTGTTCTAAATTTTAGCATTATGGCCTTATGGTCTAATAGCATGTAAACTCCTTTATAAGTGGAAAGTCGCGGGTTTAATTCTGCTTGCAACTTCATGCCGTTAGTGTTTGACCTCTAATTCGAAAAGAAAATCGGCATTATTGGTCGGGTTGGAGCTTGAGAAAATCAAGGGCTTTGCCATCGAGTTTCCTGCCCATGTGGTGCCTAGCATAGTCGATGCACTTGATGCTTCTGTACATGGCAGGAGCATCACGCAGCATTGGCTCTAATGGACCCATTTCTGCTTCATCATGTGGAGCCACAAACATTGCTATTGAAATTCTTGCTCTGCTTTCACTTGTCACTGCTCTGTGCTGATCACTCTTGTGCCTCCCATTGCTCCAAACCTGCATTATTGTATTCAACTCACAATCACATAGCTGATACACCATTTATGAATGCAAGCTTGAGCAGAAGACTGTATACAGATGAATTGAAATTGTGGGTACCTCAAGAGTATCACCGAAGTCGACAACAAAAACACCAGGAAGAGGCTTGACAGGAATCCAATGGCCCTGGTGATTAATCTGAAGAGCAGTGATGTGATCATCTTGCAGAAGAATGGTTATGCTGCCACCGTCAGAGTGAGGACTGATCCCAAGAACAAGGTCAGGTGTGGGGTATGGTGGGTAACAGTTCATACGCATTGCTAGTTTGATATCTTGGTGCAACTCATTGAGACGTTCCTCTTTCATTCCCATCAACACTGATAAATTCCCAAATATCTCTTCACACATCCTGCATATTTCTCTGGAGTACTCTTCCACTGTCTCCCTGCCCATACAGATTTTGAACAAAAAATGGAGGGAACAAAATTAATATAATATAGCCTGAAACATGAGAGAACAAATGAGGAGTACAAGATTCTGTTTACACATACTTGAAACCTGGTACTGCCATTGGCCGGTATTTAAGGTTTTTATATTGAGGAGGGTGGGTCATGACTCATGAGAAACATGAGGTCGGCCCAATCCAATTTCTGATCTTCTGAGAACACAAAGGCGTGCCCATACACTTGAATTTCATTTTCTGCCATTGAGTGTTTCTGCTTTTCCTCCATTTCCAGATCAAAGAATTCTGCCACTGCACCCTTCATCTTCTGTATCAACTCTTCTCTCACCCCATGATCTATCATCTACACAAATAATTTCATGAGTAATGAAAGAACCTTAAAGGTCCCCCAAAAAAAACAAAAAAATTGATCAGGGTGTCCTGGAAGAAATCCCACTCCTTGCAGGCAGAAGCGAGCTTCTTTAGTTCATGTGGGTCTCTTTTGGCCAGCAAGGAGAAATCTATGACTGGAATTTCAAAAGAAGTTAAAGAAAGCTCGTCTAAAACTGGTCTGTCTTTGAGGTCCCTTGTGTATCTGAGAGGAACAGTGTGAGAGTCATTCTTCACCATCTCTTGCACACTTGGCACTTGTATGGATTTTCCCCACCCTAAACCACCATCTTTTTCCATGTTGCTTTCAGATTTCACTTCCATTGTGGCTCTTTATTGGTTTCTTTGTTTGCATCAAGCTCTAGCTTTTCTGGTTGTCTTATAGATCAAAATGGTGTACGGATCCCCCTTCCCCCCCTTTTATTTTTTTATTTCTCGGCCGGCTGGCCTTTTGTTTCTTGTGTAAATTTTTTTTTTGGAAAAAAGGTGTGTGTGTGTGTATAAATATGTTTTTTAATTGAAAGTCAACTTTCATAGATGTAAGAACAATTTACAAGATTATATTATACAAGTTGATAAAACTAAGCTGCTGAAAAATGTTGTTCCATCTAGGAAGCTTGGACCTAGGCAGGATTTCTTCTAGGACTACCTTAAAGAGATGTAATAGTCTTCGTATTTGATTAATGAAGCCTTTGAAGATCATCTACTCAATTTCGTCAAGAAAAAAAACCTTGCTTATTCAGGATGGATGAAGCATATGGTGATTTCAGAGGGTCCTGATGGACCAAAATCATAAACATTAAGTATCCTGTTCAGATGATGCACATGAACCTTTTCTGGAGGCACGGACAATTCATCTGTACTAAGGAGCCGTTTATTGACAGCTTGTATTGAAGAAGCTCATTTTTGCCGATGCTTTGTATGGGCATGACAATTGTATTCCAGGTCACTTGCAAGGTTACAAATATGATTTTGATAATAGGAATCATCGGTGTTCTTCCATTGCCCTTTGACTCCAATAAAACAGTAGCCAACAAAAATAAAAAATATGTTGAATCAAAAGAATCTGTCTACAGCCACAGGCATCTCTCACCAAATATATCCAATCAAAATATATTTGGCTGTATTTTATAGGTTTATTATATTTTAATTAAGTGTAATGATCATTACCCTACATTACATATCCTTCATTTCTCAGGGCTAAATTTAAAGATTTTAATTTTTTTGGATAATTAAACATAAATCCTGTGGAATAGACTTATTTACAAATAAGCATCATAAAATTGAGAAGCTACAATTAAATTTTTGAAGACTTGAGTGTAATTTAAAATTAAAATAAAAAAATTGTAATGTCTCTATTAAATATATATACATTACATCTGTCAAATAATTTACATTTACTTTATCAGTAATTTATAACAATAAATTTAATTTTTTTACAACTGTAACTTTATATATCTAATAATTAATTAATCTATTTAATTGTTGAATTAGTTATAAATAATTAATGTTAAACTTTGATACTAATGTATGATTGTTAAACTATTTATGTAAAGTTACAGTTATAAAAAATTAAAATTATAGTTGTAAATTACTGATAAAATAGATATAAATTAATTAGTTGATGATGTAATGTATGTTTAATAGAGATATTATTCTTTTGGTAGTCTAATTTTAAATTATACTCAAGTTTCAAGGAATCTGGCTATAGTTTTTAAATTTCGTGAGACTTATTTATGAATAAATCTACTCTACGGGACCTATAGATACTTTTCCTTTTATTTTAATATTTAATAGGAGTGCTTGGTTAGCTTGTGGTTTGAAGTGAAATGGGGTGTATATGAGATTACTCAAGTAGGATTAGAAAACAACAATGGCTAACTTTTATGAGGTATTATTTTTGTTTAGATTAAAGTATACTTTTAGACTTTTAATTTTAAATAAAGTTTTATTTTAATCCTTTAATTTTATAAAATATCTATTTAGTCTTTTAATCCTAACATTATTAATTTTAAATGATTATTTTTATATCAATCATTGGTATTTTTTAAAATTAAACTTAATATGTAAACATTTAAAAAATATTTTATTAATATTTAAGATTTTAACTTAAAAATTTTTATTTATAAAACTAATGGTGTTATGATTAAAAGATTAAAAAATATCTTATAAAATTAAAGACTAAAATAAAATTTTATGTAAAGTTAAAGAATAAAAAATATATTTAAATTTTTATTATTGTTATGACTTTGATGGCATTCTTTAAATGCTACATGATGGAACTCAAAATAATTTCTAGTTAAAAAAAAAAAAAAAAGTAAACGGGCCGCAAGCCTGAAGTTACCTTAGATTGATAATCAGATAATGTGACCAGTGCCATCCCAATCCCATCTCTTCAGTAGAGAAGCAGGGTATATAAATAAAAAAGTTTTAAATACTTTCAAAGATCCCTCTCAAATATATAAGAATCATGTTGCTTAGACCCTTTAAATACACACTAGATTGTTTTAGAAAATGCTGAATATACACTTTAACAGAGATCATATCCGCATCGTTACATCCTATTAATTAAAACTGAGTTTTAATGGGCTAGCTTTGTTGAAATTAATTTGTTAATTAAATATTTTATAGTTAGCAATCTGTTAATTTACATCCCCCTAAAATTGATCTTTGGTGAACTAACCTTTGTAATAGTGCTATTATTAAATTGAAATGGAAATTGAAATGGCCATAATAAAAAAAGAGGAAGAGCCCATATTCCATACTAGCAAGATCTTCTAAAAGAATCTGATAATATAGTAGAACTTGTTCAACTAACTTAGTTGTTCAACAACTTTCATGAAAAATAACCAGTCTATTTATACCTATTACAAAATTTTTCATGGTAATTTAAAATTTTATCAAGACTAAATGCAACATGTGACAAAAAGAGATTAATTTGTCAAAACCTGAACACGTAGTTGTCAATTGCAAAGTTATAATTATTGAATTTGGAGTGAAATGCTTCTTTCCATTCTTCAGCTATATTTTCCTTTTAATTCATTTATTAGGGGTATTTTTATTATTTCTTGTCGGAAAATAATTGCATTTCAATCTATCGGACTTGTTGACGAATTTCAGAATTGTTTAAACCTTTGATGTTATTATGTTACTCTTCCATAATTTTTTCAAGGGACCCAAGTGTTATTTTTCAAATATAATAATAATAATAATCTTAGATGGATGAGATGTATCCAAATGGATGAAACATAACCGCGTAAAAGAACAAACGTCTAAGTAGATTAAAGCCAAGTGTAGGTAGACTCTTGTGTCCAATGGAAGCTTTAGTGGAATAGGGCTATTAGAAGTGAATTGTTGTTTTTAGAATTGAAAAAGAATATGCTTTGCATGAACAACATAATATATCTATTGTACGTGAGTCTTTGCTCTTGTGGCCCGGGGAGATCACTAGCTCTAGAGATTGATTGAAGGAGAAACGACAGCGTCTAACTAGTGATCCTAAATTTTGATTACAGGGCAAAATTTTATCACTTTAAATGAGTTTATTTTATTTTTTTGGATTTGTCAAGATATCCTCACAATTAACAGCTATTAGACTAATTCTTCAAGGATTTGAGTGCTATTTAAGAGGTTGTCCTCTTTTTTTGAAAGCTCTCTATATACATTTTCAAAAATTAAGCTTTAGAATTATGCTTAAGGAGTTCAGACCACTACCATTTTTACTATACCTTCTTGGTTATATGAGTTAATTTTTATTAACTTGATATAATGATTTTCATAACTGAGATAATAAAGAACAACAATGTCTTTTTAATCTAAAAATAAAAGCTTAAGAGGTTAACTTTCAAGTTAAAATATTAGGGAGGATATATACAGTTGACATGAAGTTAAGAGAGGTTGCGTATATTTTAACATTTTTTTTAAATTAATGTTATAATTAAATATTTCAGAGTTAGAAAACGGCGGCTTCTTTTTTTTTTTTTTTTGTCTTGAATGGATTTGCATAAACTTGTAGGCTGGGTCTCCCCGTCAATGAATATACATTTAAAGTTAACATGCCACTCAATGTTACATTCTTGAAACATGACAAAAGTATTTGCCAGACATAGTCACTGATTTATATGAGAATTATTAAATTTCTTGTTCTAGCTAAAAATATTTTTAAAATGAGATATCCCTGAAGCATGAGAGATTAACTTATTACTAATACAAAATCTTGGTAAAAGAAGAGCATGCAATTAAGATGATTATGTTAAGGAGGCATACACTTTAGAAGAGAGTTAAGACATAATTGATTCTAAAAGTCTCAAAAGAGGTTTAGATACCTGAAAGTAATAAAGAGAGATCTCAATAAGTCATGTCACACTTAGAAAAATGGAACTGAAAGTATAAAGTTGTCGACAATAATTTTGATGATAATATCGCATGATTAAATGAGGATATTTTATACAAATTTCTCATGAAAAGTAGACAAACAATGATTGGCCAAATAAAAAAAGACAAAGGAAAAGAGGAAATATGAGTAGAATTATATTAATTTTTAATATGTGAAAATCATGAACATGCAGTCTAAATATTTTAAATGTAAATGTTATTATAGGATAAATGAATATTTATGTGACAATAAAGATTTTCACAAATATCTAATGATGTTCAAGTGTATTATCTTGTGGTGAATTTTTGTATATATTATTAATCTAATAGTACATGAAATTGAAATATAATGCGTCTATTAAATATTATAGTTAGTATGTGTGTGTGAAATTAAAATATAATGCGTGCATTAAATATTATAATTAGTGTGTGTGCACGTGCGTCTATTAAATATTGCACGCGCGTGCGTGCATGTTAAAATAGTTCAAACATGTTTTAAAAAAAATGATAGATTTTGATCAAAAAAATTTGACAATAAAATTTTGATATCGAGTTTGGATTTAACTTATTGATTTAATATTTAATACCAATGATTATAAAATCATTATGCTATATTTATTTTGTCTATGAGACTATGCTAATTTGATTGGTCTTGAAGTACCATATATTTATTAATATTTATACATTTTCCTAATATTGTATATGATATAATTTTGTTAGCAAATTTAAATTCCTGGTGAACTAACAGATATTGAAAACGAGATATATTTTTAATATATGAGAAAATATATTTTTAATCATATGAGAAAAGCATTATATCCTGAAAATATATTTTTAATATATGATAATGCATTTAGTATGGTTTGATTAGGAGTAAGATCTACTTGAAAAAAATATTGACAGTCGCATTTGAGAAATTAATATATTATCTTGAAGTACAATAATTTAAAAGTGATGTTGTCATAAGAGGGAGTAAATGCATGTTGTACTTTTTTTTTTCTTAACCAAAGTTTTGTTCTATTGAGCTTTTCTTATAAGATTTTTAATGAGGCAGCATTAGATAACATACAAATAAATGATGTACTCTTTTTTTTTATTATATTTTTGTCTCACAGAGTTTTTCTTAAAGTTTTCAATGAGGTACATTCTTACATAATGGATATCCAAGAGGGAGCGTTATGAATATTAAATGTCATGTGAATGTCCATCTCCTTCACCCTTTCATCTATTCTCATGAAATCCCACCATTTGATGAGTGTTTATTACTCTTTGTTTTCTATTATTACTTGTGTAACCCTTGATATAAGTTTACGTTAGTAAAATAGGGCATGTTATTTGCATTGTAAAGAATGGAAAATGAATACAAGAGAGGTTATGCCTATTTCTATTGCCTCTATTCTTTCTCCTCCTCCTCCTCTTCTCATTTTCATTCTCTCTATATTTTATTCATAACAATTACTGATTTTTTTCCTATTTCTTTATTTTTTTAAAAAAAGTTTTATTCAATCATGTTTTTCAGGGTTAAATACAAACTTAAGTGAAGTTTCCTTAGCAGATGATTGTTAGAGTAGAGGAAAAAGAGAATCTTTCTAAAATAGATGGATCCTTTTTCGGAGAATTATATTGACTCACAAAAGCATATTCCATGGCATATGAAAACAATTCAAGAGCCGAGACATAGAGACGACAAAGAGAAAAGCATGATTTCAAACAGACATGGTTCACAATATTACACAAAAACCATGACGGATATTCATCCGAATTTGAAAAGATGAAATTAAAATATTATTTGATTAGATTGTCTCAAATATAAAATAGCATGTTCGTTTTGGCACCACGAGAATGCTTAGAATTGATACAAGCAGCTTCCGTCATCACTCCTGGCAGTTGGGTCAAAGTTTGCGGCATTTGGATCAGTACATCCTTCCGGAACAGGTATGTTTACTTGCTGTGCTGCTTGGCCTGGATAATAAAGACACAAGCTCAAATTTCAGACCATTTTTATCTCACCCGAACCATCTTTCTTAACTTTGATTTTATCCTAAAATCTCGGTCCTGTAAGTTAAGTGTACTTGATGAAATGCATGGGTCAAGTTCACTTCAATTTGAAACTCAGGAGTTGGCATGCAACACAAGCAATGTGCCACTCAACCCTACACAGTAATACAACACACACATAGGATGGGGCCCAACCCACCCAACAAGTGGGGCCCACTACCTCATATTGTGTGTGTGTGGTTTTTTTTTTTTTTTTTTGCAGCAAGTGCACACTGCTTCAGTATTTGACTATTTGTATTGTGGGGGTGTAAATCAGTCAAAGTTCAAGCATCAAATATTTAGCTTAGCTAAACTCAACTAGTTTTCAAAACCTGACTTGACCCGATTTATTAACCCAGTAAAGCTAGGAATTCAGGGTATCTATTGTCCTCTCTACTTCTACTAATACCCAAAATCTGAGCCCTTCATTAAAGGAAATTAGATAAAATTTCTCATCAATAGAGCATGATATGAATGGTTGAGATTTTAGGTATTAATTCGGTGGACAGCACTGAAAGCAGCAAACACTCCAAATCCAAAACGCTGATCCACTTATACTCAAATTGATCGTGTGTGTGTGTGTGTATATTATCCAAAAATCATGACCAGTACCACTTGTTGATTCCAATCCATATAAATATAATTTATAGACTCTACAAGTATTTTTTTTTTTGGTGCAAAATTGTTGATGAATGAAATCATGCATGTGACATATAACATGATCATCAAGTGATAACTTTAAATATGAGTATACATGAGAGAACTAATGAAAGGTGAGAAGGAAAAGTGAGAATAAAAAAAGAAGGAACAAATGGGCAAACCTCCCCATGAGGGCCAGCAGGAGGGAGGGGAGCTAACCGTAGAAAGTTCCTCTTGAAATAGAATCTTGGTTGGCGTCACCAAGTGCAGCCTCGCTCAGGTACTTATCAGCCAATTGGACTCTCTTCACGTTCTCTTGTTCTTGCACCAACATGTTTCCGTACTCCAACAGCTTCTCCACCGACATCTTCGGCTGCTCGAACGTCGGTGGCCCTTCCTTCGAGTTCACCAGCTTCTTCCCCACGTCCTCTACTCCTATCCCCGATATCCACTTCCTCACTTCGTCGTCATACACTCTTGCCCTCAAAGCTCCGAAGAAATCTGCACACACACACTCATATACATGGCGTCATGGGAATTAAGAGGATGTATTATGTGTGTGTGTGTGTGTGTGATAAACGCACGTACCGATGGATTGGCCTGGGAAGGTATCGACGAGCTTGACGATGTCCTCGTCGGCGACACCGTCGGTGCGGAAGATTCCCTTGCAGACACCGATGCGGTCTTCTCTGGTGGGGGCCCAGTAGAATTTCTCCATACGACCGTCACGGATGAGGGGGGCGTAGAGGGTGGAGAAGTCGTTACCGGTGACGATGATGGGGACACGTGGATTCTCTTCCTTGTTGTACATACCAGGGAGTTGCACGTTGGTTGGGTTGTCAGCGATGTTCATCAGAGTGGCGTTCACCATCTGGTTGTTCACTGTGTATTGGGTGGTTCCTCCCATACGACCAGCTCCGGCGTCCAGATCGTTGATGAACAGACAGCACATCTTTCCCTTCTTGATTATGTCTGCTGCTTCACGGTACCTTTGCCTGATCAGTTTTGCTGGCTCTCCTGCGTTCCCGCTCTCCAGCTCTCCGGCACTCATCATGATGGGGCTGTGTGTGTATAACATCAAAATCATGTCAAGTAACAGAGCGTGTATGTATGCGCGCGAGCGCATGTCATCAGAGCATAATTAAGACATATGACAGTGTGTGTTGGAAGAATCTGATACATATGAAGTGTTTGCTACATGTGTATGAATCTTCTCAAGGTGATCTATGGCTCTATGCTAAGGAACTATATATGTGTATAATATTGTTGCAAATGGAGTTGTCAATTGATGAATTCCCAAGTACTTGGGTCATCTTCGGTGAGGAATATAGGAATATGAAACACAACACTAGACACTGTAATATAATACGACCAAGTGTTAATTTAATATTTTAAGACTGGTACACATGGCATCTGAAAAGAGTGTCATAGGCCCTATGTGCAGCTCAGGCTCTGAAGAATTTTTTCACTAGTATAGTGTATGGTCAAGAACTTACTTGATTCCCATCTTGGCGAAGACAAGCTCACACTGGAAAGATTTTCCTTGACCTTTGCCTCCCCATATACCGAGGATGAGAGGAATCTGTGAGTAAATATAATGAAAAACACATGTATTAAGTGAATTTCTATACCCCAATTCAATAGGCAAATCATAGAAATCAGAAATATCATGTGTCTGGACTTTCTACGCGGACCTTGATGTTAGGCAGGGTCATGAAGTTCTTGGTGATGTGAACAACAAGCTTGTCCATGAAGGCAGGAGCAATGTAAAAGCCGTCCATGTTGTTGTCAAGGTTGTACCTGAGACATCATAAACACGACCAAATTCAGATGAGAAATTAAAGAAAATTGACTGTGTGATGATACTATAGAGTTTCCAAAGTAAAGTGTCCCCACTGGCGAAGACCGGCGCTGAGGTACTCGTAAGAGCTCATGACAGCATAGTGAGTTCCAGTTTGCATGGGAGCTTGGAACAGAGTGTCCACCATTCCCTTCCCTCTGGTGATGTCTTGCTGGTCATCTGACATGTCATAAGCAAGACCCTTCCATCTGTCCTTCTCTGTCTGCTGCTTCTCATCAATCTCTTTCTCTGCAGCAACAACCTTAAAGTTCCCAGATGAAACCTTGTAGGGAAGCCTTGAAGCCATGACCTTCTTCAAGCTCGTGCCCATGAAAGCTGAGCTCGGAACCGAAGCTCCAGCTCCAGACCCATTAATGCTCAGCTGCAAAAACACACCGTAGAGTTAGTTCTTACTCTCTCAATCAAATCTAAAGGACAGGATCTGATGAGACTACATAAACATGCGTATGATGAAATTAAGGTTGGAGAGGCACGTACTGGAGTTCTGTTGACTGCTCCGACAGTGGAGAGGGAGGCAGCCATGGCTGAAGTGTTTGTTTCTTGTGGTAAGAGAGAAGGCGAATGGACTGTTGTAGTTGGGAGGGAATGCAGAGCTAGGAGATGAGTACAGGGGAGAGAAGGACTTATAGTTGGGAGGTGTAAACGAGTGTACAAAAATGCATATCCAGGGGATTAGTGATAGAATCCTTAGCGTCCACACAATGAAGATTACCCTGAATGCCACGTGGCAGACAGACGGTGCATGGAAATTCTCACATCAACCTTGGGAGCTTGACCGTGAGGTTGTGTTTGCAGCTTTATCCTGCTCCACCAATCTGGAGGCGACTTTGTTACCACACAATTTCAGAGGAGCCATGAGAGCTTCTTATTAAACTATTGGTTACTGTTTTTTAGGCCAATATAATCAAAGCATTTGCTTGCTTGTGTTTTCTGCATAATTACAACGTCAAATTTCTTAGTGATAACTCATATTGCATGACATGCTAGCGCGTTATTATCTTAAAGAAGAAGACCAAATTTAGACATGTTTTTTTAATATATTTTGGGAAATTTTAAAAAGGAGGAGGGTTATTCTTGTAGCCTGATATACTGATAACATTGAAATTCTAATGCTAAATTATCCTTTTTTAATTAAGATCTTGCAAAAAGAAAGAATTTCACATTTAAAAATAAGTTAACACTGAAAAGTGTTAAAAAAATAAGGGATAAGTGAGACAAAAAAAAATCCACTAATTAGAAAATAACACATTAAATATTGATAAGATGAAGTACTATGTTTTTTTTACTAAAAATTAAAAATCGTTAAGAATAATTTATATTGAAAATAAAATGACAAAATTCTGCGGTAAAAGAAATAAAAAATGAAATATATTCAGCCAATGAATTAAAACAGGATATTAATGACTTTTAATAAAATAATGGTGTTTATTTTGATGTTATTATATTATTACTCCTCTAGCCGTTGATATAAGAAGAAATTACTTAATTCCGCACTTATTAAGAATTTTTTTTGATAATCCATTAAGAAATTTAATTATTATAACTTTGAAATTGTAAAAGAATATGTGACTTTCTGATTTTATCCTTATTTACCATTAATAATTAATAATTATAATAAATTTCTGTTGAGAAATTTAAATGATAATAAATAAATAAGAAATAAAATTAAAAAATATTAAAACTCTAACTTTATCTTATATTAACTATTAAAGATAAAAAAATTTAAATTCTATCTTATATTAAGTAATGGAATAGTATTATTATTTCCATTTTCTAATTTTAGTAATTCTTTTTCGCTGGTTCTATTTTTCTGATCCCGGTACTTTTTATCTGTAGCTGTCATCTACACAAATATCAGAGGGATCATTTACTTGGAGCTGGAGTATAATTACTTCCCCACAAATATAGTTTTCAAAAATTTCAAAAACATTATCTTTTCATTGAACAGAAATGAGAAAATCAGTGACTCAGATGGTTTCACGAAAGTGAGTTCATCCCCATCACTTCAGACCCTTGCGATGAAGACAACATTACATGCATTTTCTTCTGCACTCTCTCTCTCTCTGCCTCTAATCAACTCAGATTTCTTTATTCATCGAAATTTTCTGCTCAATTTCAGAAAGTCAAGGTTACCACAACTTTTGAGTTTCTTCATTCATTCTTTGGCCATAGGACACTGTCTCGAATATTCTGGATCCCACACTACAAATATGACATTTTGGAATTTTTCATGAGTTTGAATTTTCTCAGCCGCCCAAAAAAAGTTGATTTTTTTATTTCTTTTAAATGTGCATCACATATATTCTGTATTTATCCTCGTTCAGAATAAATATAAAGGAAAAAAAATTCAAAGCTCAAGTATTCCTTTCGTTTCCTAACTATTAACCCATACAACCCCCTCCCCCCCCCCCAAAAAAAAAAAAAAAAAAACTCTGTGTATATGTGTGGGTGCGCATGTTTATCTTCTTCTGGTAAATGTCTTTCTGTTATATTCCGACAGGCAAAATTTATTTCGATTGATTGAAATGGCCGTTGCTTGAGCCTCTTAATTACCTCCATGTCAATCATCAATCACTATATATAAGACTTGACCGAGGGTTTTTTTTCCCCCACTTTATTGGCTAATTAATGAGCCAATGAAACACAGAAACTCTCCACTTGCCGAAGACCAAGTTTAGGAAGCCAATCACCACACGTTATCTTCTCTAAATGTGCCACTCAGTCGAAATAATTGTTGGAGCGTATATGATTCATTGCCTTGGAGTTGAATGCCCTTTTGTCGGAGACCACATGCGCACGTATAATTGTGTGTGTTCTATATATGCTCAAGTCTGCTGGATTTTTTTTTTTTTTTTAATAAAACAAGAGCAAGCAGAAAGCTTGAGAAATAACACGAGGACAACTACGTATAAGTGAAAAGAAATCAAGATCAGGTGGACGTAAGTCAACCAACCTCTCGTGTGCCAAAAAGCTTTCTAAGTATTGAAGTGTCACCATAGGCACCAGGAGACGTCCAGGCGTATCATGAAAACTGTTCTTAGCCATTACATCATTGCACTTTATGTTCTCTTGTCTTGTGAAAGACTTCAACCTCCCGTTCTCCATAGAGCAGCTCACAAATGTCAACAAGTAAGGCTTTGAGGGGATGGATGCCCAACAAATCTCTTCGAATCAGGTTTACAGTGTCCAAGGAATCTGAAAAAATCTGTATCTTAGTCAAGCCGAGAAACCTGGACTGTCAAGTCTGCTGGATGTTGTGGAAGAACAAATGCAACAAAATATTTATTCCAGAGCGATACATAGATACTGATCTATGTGGTATTCCTCCCTCTCCAGATCATAATCGGGGACATGAAGCTTGAGAATTTAAAAACCACTGGATTTCACCTGAACTCGACCGTGTGAGACTTGACATTAACAGATCAATCAATAATGCTAGACATGCTTCTTGCAGTGGGTTAATAAGAGACAATGAAGGGAGATGGAGATTTGACTTTGCAAAGAAATTTGACTATATATGTCGATCACGAGGGTGAAGCTTATTACCATTTACGAGGGGTTACAACTTTAATCTGTTAGCCCATGAGTTCAAAACGATTAAATAGCTATGCACCGATTCCATCGGAACTATCCAATCATGACGCACCAACCATCCGGGCTGCAACATTGTTCAAGACAGGTGCACCTTTTGATGCGAGATTGGGAGATTTCCCGTGAGCTTGTGTATGCAGTGGCAAACCTACATTGGAGGGTCACTTTTGCAAAAATTACATGCAAGACGTAAAATTTACCTTTTTTGACCCCATTAAATTCCAATTTTAATATGTTGTCATTTTACCGCCACTAACTTAGGGTTTTGGATCTGCCACCGTGTGTTTGTATAGAGCAGCTAACACCTTAATTTAAAAAAAAAAAAACAAAAGTTAAAGTATAATTTTGCCCGTAATTAAAGTATTTTTAAAGAAGTAATGTTACCCTTAAATTATTCATCATAGTAATGTTGCCCCTACATTAATTAAATTGGAGTAATATTGCCCTCTCTATTTAAATATTTGTTAATTGTAGTTAGTAGGACTCACTTTTCATAAGTTAAGGTATAATTTTTTTCCTAAACTAACAAATTTTCTAAACTAATTAAATCCGAGCAACGTTGTCCCTGTCATCTAAAAATCATAAATGTCCATTAACCAACGAAAGATAATAAAAATTATTTTTTATACCAGTGTCATTCCATTTACATCCCTTTTAACGTCTAATTTTATGTAAAAACATTTATCTATATCATGATATTCCCTACCAACATTCCAACGAGTTATGAACTATACATTGAGAAGAAGTTCAATGTTTGTACTAATTTTCTTTAGTGACAAATATGACAATAGTTGAAGTATAAATTTACAATGACAACATTATAAGAAGAGCTCTTGATCCAATAGAAAGCATATAAATAACATTTCTAGGTTAAAAAAGCAGCTTCTTATTGTTTTGAATAGATTAGCCTACAAAATTAATTATCATAAATAAATATACTCTCTTATATGCATTATAAAAAAAAAGTCTATTCATAGACCATCATAAAGTGGTTATTCAAAAACTAATTCAGCAACTGAAATGTCACAATCTAATTGAAATCCTAACCTGATTCAGTATTAATTAGAGAGATGGTAATGAAAAGTGCATCCCATTAGCTATAATTAACAGATGTTCCTGATTTTTAAACAACAAGAGCAACATTATTCCTTTGAGAATAGTTTAGGTACACCATGAAAAGTGAGTCCCACTTGCTACACTAGCAAATGTTTTAACAGCAATGGCAACTTTGCTCCGATTTAATTAATTTAGGAGTAATATTACTATGATGAATAGCATAACAGCAAGATTGCTCATCAAAAAATATTTAAAGATAAAATCACACCATAACTCAAAAAGAATGTCTTTTCAAGGATAAAATTGTCCTCTATGACCCAAGACATGTATTAACAAAAATCTGATTTTTTCAATTTCTCTAAATACAATCATGCATAAGCTTGGCCAATAAAAATAAAGACCAGGCATAATTAATTTAAAATAAACATACAAATAATAAAATAAGTGAGCAAGAAATACTTAATTGGTTGATAGCTACTTTGAGGGAGCTACTAACCTCAAAGGGAATTCGAATCATCATCAACATAAAATCAAATCCATACTTTCAGGAGCAATGAATAGTATAGCTTACTTTAAATTGCATGCAATACATTAAAAAATGTCCAAGTTTTGAAATATCATGCTCCCTCCATACTACAATATAGAGCATCTTCCAAGAGTCTTATTTAATTCAAAATATAAGGTATTATTATATTAGGTAGTTTTTATAATTATTTTTTCATTTATTCATTACTCTTTTTTGAAAAAATATACATTAAAATTTCTATTGTCATTATTATGTCACTTTGCGCATAGATTCTTTTTAAAAAAAGGGTCAAAAAAACTAATAGCGTATTTAATGAGAGTGTAATTAAAAAAAATGTAATTTTTAATAAATTAATAGTTTATCTATTGATTTTAACCATGAAATAGTTAACAATATCCTATATTTTGGTCCAGATAAAGTATATCTTTCTTTAAACTATAATGAGATGTTTTGATGTATGTTTGGCATTATTTTAAGTATGATTTTTTCAATATAATTGAATATATATATGGAAATTTTAAATTTTATGAATTTTAATTAAGATTCTAGTCTTATATTTATATGTGTTTGTTTTATAAAGCGTCTTCATTATGAAGGCATGTATAATTAATTAGCAAGGAGATGGTGAAAAATAACAAGAACATATAAGAAAAAAATGAGAAAATTTAGGTACTTAACTTGGGAAAATAACAATTAAGAACTCATAAGACTATTAATTATAACTTAGGACTAAATTATTGAAATCACATTAATGAACCATGATCCTTATTTGAAATTAAAAATATCTATGAGTTTACAAAATTGCCCTTAAGTAAATGTAAAAAACAATTAATTAAATCTCACTTGAAAAAAAAAGACACTACTAAAATTACTTCTATAAATTGGGACTATTATTAATTTGATAATTTCAGTTACAAAAACCAGGATGCACACTTAGGAATAAATTTAACAATAGTCACAACGTATAATAATAATTTCAGTAGTCTCAACTCATAATACTTGAGATAATAATTTTTTCAATTGAGATTAATACTAGTTCCAACCCATGATAGTAATTTTAATAATTTTTTTCTTAAATTTTTAAGTGATTTACCTATATATTGACAAACATAAAAATTCACAAATAATTGATTTCATATTTAGAAGTAATTGGTAAATTTTCAAGAAACTATTATATATTCACAAGTGCTTTTTGCAAATTTCACAAGTGAATTTTAATTTTATATTGAGAAATAATTAATTTCCAAGTGTGGATCCTATTTTTTCTAATTAAGATTAACAATAATCCAAACTTACAATAATAATTTTAGTGGCATCTTTTTTTTTATTTTTTAAGTGATACTCGAGGATAATTTTGTAAATTTATATATGTTTTTAATTTCAAATAAAGATTATGGTCTATTATTGAGATTTTAATATTTTAAAATTTTTAATTGTAATTACTGGTCTTGTGAGGTCCTTGATTTTCGTTTTCCCTAATCTGAAATACTTCATGCACGCACGTTTCTTAATTCTGATCAAATTAGTACAAGTAAATTTTATTTTTTTAAAAAAATATAATTAATTAAAGTTACTTTTTTAAAAAATAATGGACAATTTATTAAAAATCGCTGATCCATTACCAATTACCAACAAAGACTCATTTCTAAATTAGATTAGGCCACAAAACAAAAACAAACAACAAAAAGTAAACATAAAAACATAAATAAAAAAAATGGAGCTTAGAGACAAACTCAAGTTCCCAACTAATCAAACAAATTCACTGTCATCTTGATAATATAGAGATCCTTAACCCAACAATATAGCAACTACATGAACAGATAGCTAGTTTTGTGGTTTGGTGCCCAAAAAGCATAGATAAGAGAACCAAAGGTTCTTGATAGAGAGCCACAAAGGCTAACGAGCAGCAATAATATGCCAGAACCTTATAAAAAATTGCATTGCCTAAACTAGATCTTGCATCATTTTTGTCCTTGAATGTTTGAAATGCATTGTCTTATCACCCCACTGTTAACACACATAACTTCAATTTTAGTTAAGTGAGTCCCACCATTTTTTATTATTTTTATAAAAAAAATATTAGATTAAGGGTTACTTTTATCCCTAAACTTTTCCCTCATCCTCTTTTTGGATGGAAAGAAAATTAGAAAAAAAATATTATCACTCTTTATATTTGGATAGATAGAAGAAAATAGGGAGGAAAGAAAATGAACAACTATCACAATGATTATAATATCCTTATATCAAAATATATATGTTTAATGTAATTACATGTATAAAAATATATTGAAAATGATTATATAAAAATTAACATCATCAAAATAATTCAAAATCAAATTAGTTTGTAGAAATTGCTTTCATGTTATTATATTTTAAAACTAAATAATTTAATAAAAATATGTTATTTTTATTTACAAAATTTAAAAGTGGATATTTTTTAAAATTAAATAAAATAAAAAATGAATGAATTTCAACGTAGCTCTTGATTTGTTGGTAAGAGCATTTTGCTTTTACTTATAGTCATGAGTTCTACAGTGAACATATGAAACTAAAACATAAAATATAAATTATATATAAATAATATCATAAAAATATATATGAAAGTCACACATTTATAAAAATATGTAGTTTGCAGAAAAGAAAAAGACATGCACAGCAGTAAGACAGAGCAATATCAGATTCATTTTTAAGCCAAAGACTTTTATAATCATAAAAATCACTCCTTATATTAAAAATTATAAGGCATTTTCAACTAAATTTTACCCTCAATAAAGTAGTTGTTTATTTTCAAACTAACCCTATATTTTTATATTTATTCTTATTTAATAGGACATTTCATCCTAAAATAAATACAAAGTAATTTATTTAATAAAGGTACTTTAAAAAAAAGGTAATAATCACACTTTCAAAACTAAAAATATGTTATATTTTTTAACATACAACCTCACAAAAAATACCTTACATTTTTTAACAAAAAAAGTATGTGAATCAGTGTTAAATTATTTTTATAATAATTATTGTCACTTATCATGATGTAGCAAATAAATTATTGTAGCAAATATAATGTGAGTTAGAGCACTAAGGTCTTTAAGCAAAAAATGGAGGGGTAGAAGATGATGAAACAAAGACTCTTATGCAAAGGAATAAAAAGGCAGATGTAGAATAAATATTTTTCTCCCAAAATCTCTTTATTTGTGAAGAGAAAATATGATGGGTTTCACACCCCATTTTTTTATCCACTTTTCCTTCTTTTCACTTTTTCTTTGATAGAAAAAAAAAGTTACTTTCTCTCCTATTTTGTCATCATATTTTATCCTCATCTAAATAAAACATTAGAGTCTACATATATCATAAACAAAAAAAGCAGATTCTTACCAATATTTTATTATAAAAAATATTTAAAAAATGATGAAACCTCCTTACCAAAATAGACATTACACGCATTAACAATGAGGTGACAAGATAATGCATTTCAAATGTTCCGCAATAAAAATGATTCAATATCGAATTCAAATTATCCACAGACCCTAGAATAAATATTTAAATACAAAAAATTACCCTTACCCAGTTACAAGCGCCACCCTTTTCGAATACCTCTAAATAATGCACAACACTAAACACTAAACACTGTTATATGTCAACAGCACACACGAAAAGCAAACCGTACGGACTTCAAAAATTCAGCTTCATCTTTCATATTTTATCCAAACAAGTACATGTTAGTTTCCACTTTTCACTATTTCTTTACTTCTCGATAAATCGTTTCTCTTCCCCAGACATTATAAAAAAAATTAAACGAATTACATAATCTCACACAATATATTTAAATATCACAAGATCAATTGATAACTAAGCAAAATAATAATAATATACAATTGTTAATATATATTATAATATTTAATTGTATTGTATAAGATCTCAAATTAATTCTTCCTAAAAAATTTAAATGAACAAAGTACATATAAATACCGACAGGCAAAGGAATCACAATGTCTCAATTTATAAAATATGTTTTAATAATATTATTCATACTAATAAAATTTATTATATGTAGCTTACAATTTTAATTTTTTTTATAAATTTTCAAAACTACCTTTTATTAATAAGAGGGGGGAAGGAGGTTTATTTAAAGAATGAAATAATGATAGGTAATATTAAAATAATTATCATTAATAAAATTTTATACTTTTCACTAATATGTCTTATATTTTGGGATATCAATTTTTCTCAAAAAATATCTTATAAAGTAGAAGGGGGAAAGTACTTTAAAATTTTCTGAGAGAATTTAGGAAGCAAGAAGTTCCTAAATCCTGATCCTAATTCACATCTTTAGAAGCAAACAGTTCTTGAATACAGAGCAACAGAGAGTCACAGACAACAAAAGTAGAGTAAAAGTAGGTGATGAAAGTAGATTCGACACGTAGAAAAAGGAATAACGTACCAATATAGCTAGCTACACAAGATGACAAAGCGACACCACGAAATAAGGTCCATGAGCATTAATCGTAGTGAGTATTTGCTAGAAGCTGGCAAGCTATAACGAGAAGTACTGCTTCTAGAGATACAATGAATGATCATTGTTGCATGACAGAGAAAGACACTTCCATCGTTAAACTCGAAAGCCGAAAGTTCACATCCACCATCTCATAACCCTTCCCCTTCTCATCATCCTCCATGTGTCAAACACAACAAAACAAATTAAACGGAAAAGAAAAAAGAAAAGGAAATGTTCACCTTCATGACTATGACAGAAACCTGAAATTCATCAAGTGTGACAGGCACTGTCTCTAATGAATTCATTTCACCTTTCAAAACCTTTCTGTTCTACAACCGCATTGGAGGTCAGGGAATAAGTTCAGCAACCTGGAACTGTTGCTGATGGATGTTTTATGAGCTAGTGGCCAGAAAGAGTCAGAAATGAACACTTCGAGAATATCAATGGTTATTTTACCACTAAAGACCAAAGTTAAGTGGCCAACAGCCAAACCTGAATTAGCGTAGAATGACATTTACATGTGCGTGTGGAGAGAGAGAAGGGGGGAGGAGAGAGAAGGAATGTAACGCGCAAATGATTGACTGAGTAATGAACATCAATATACAGACAAAAGGCCGCAATGAGCCATGCACTCTAGGTTAGAAAATTAGTTTAAGCAAAGCATGCACGATAATTCAAGCTCATGGACCGACCATGCAACTTTAGTTGGGTTGAGAGCATAAAAATATATTAATAAATGTATCGAGTGGATTGTGATAACTTTCACAGGACCCGTTACTTACACAACTTGGATCCGCTCAGCAGCAACTAATCCAAAAACAAGATAGAAGGAAACAAAAGAACTTTATCATGTCATCATTTTGAGGCTTTCCTTCATTTGAGCTGTTATTTTCTGCAGAGTACAGATAAGCATCTTCAAGATGTATTCATGCATGTAAATCTCGTTCAGTGGAAAGATACATTTTCCCAAGATAAGGTAAGAAGAAGCTGAAATAGTTTATGCATCACACCTGTCAACATCTATTCCCTACCTTTTCTCATGTTTCTGAACCCAAATTGGCATTCTGTCAACAGTAAAACATTAGAGAGAACATTCATTTCGAGGCATAAAAGAGGAAAGGTTTTCCCTAAATGACAATGACAATGTAGGCCACAAAAGAGGCCTACAATAGCTATTTAAACTAAAGTATATCCTGTGGAGACAACAACAAAAAAGAACTCACCCTTCTAAGTGATCACTATAAAGTGAGTAAACTTTGAGTTCTTAAACAAACTAGTGGCAATATTCATACTACTGAAAAACAACCGTCGACATGCAAAAGTACAAGGTTAGGACAACGACAGGGCTTAGCCCTTCATGTGGAGCATGCAAGTTCCTCAGGAGAAAGTGTACTACTGACTGCATATTCGCTCCTTACTTCTCTTATGACCAGGCTGCAACCCATTTTGCAGCAGTGCACAAGGTTTTTGGTGCTAGTAATGTCTCTAGGTTACTGCTACACCTACCAGTGCAGACTAGGAGTGATGCTGCTGCCACCGTGTCTTATGAGGCGCTGGCTCGGATGCATGATCCTGTATATGGTTGTGTTGCTCAAGTCTTTGCCCTGCAGCAACAGGTACATCCCCAGAACTTATTATATCACATCACACCATAATTTAAGTAGAGAAATAATTTTCAATATTCTGCTATATCCAGGTTGCAAGCTTGCAAGAGGAAATAGATAAACTTGGTCATTTGATGGCCAACTCTCCTGTTTGTGCTGCCAATTCTGGTGGTGGCAGTTCTCAAGCCTCAACAAGCAGAAACATAGATGGGATAGAATTTTCTTGGCAGCAAGATGCAACAAATACGCAGCTTTATCATAATCAACTAGCTTCTTTACTTTCTCACCAAGGAAGTGTTGCGGCGTACCAAGGCTTGGAAGGACAGGTGAATTTGGATTTGCCAGATGCTCTTCAGTTGGAAGACCACTTATTTGATGAGTCCGACCTTAATTCATTGGAGAAGCTCCTATCAGGAATTGACCAACAGGTTTTCATCAATCATCCTTGATCCTAAGTCCAACCATTTCAAAAGGTTAAAATATCAAGCCTGGAACTAAAACATCTGTTTATCACGTGAAGTACCTTGCATGATAAGACTGCTTAAAATCGAGCTCTGTTGTGAGTTTTAACAACCATTTTACCATCCAAGGAAAGCAAGCCGCCTCTCTTTTGAGCTGGCTTTATCCCAGTTTGGTCACCCAAATCACTATCATTTGCAGAAATATTTAATCTCATCCCACAAGTTTAAGTTGCACTTTGTATTTACTTGAAATGTGCTAAAGCTTGTTCACTTATGGTCCCACACATGCACATCCTGGACTACAAGCCTCAAATCTCACGTCAGAAGTCTTAATCATTCGAATAAGATTTATGACAAATTATTTTATTTATGACCAATTATTGTTAAGTAACAATAATTGGTAGTCATGAGTTTAGTTACCATACATCCTATGTGACAAATGTAATGTGTTAAATATATTATGACAAAAATAATAAATAAAACAAATAAATAAGAAGCAAGCATAATAAATCTGTTGTGGTGCTCACAAAAACTAGATCTCTCGATCCAGTATACGCTAATGTTTAAGTATACTTGTAAGCAAGAACAACACTAGAGAAATTATACTGCAAAATCAGAGAGCACTCCAACTTAACAATTTAAAGTGAGCAAGATCAAAAGAGAGACCTCCCCACAAGGGCATTGGCAGAGCACTTGAATATAGATGTGCTTAGACCCTCATAAGGCTATGCCACTATGTTCCATAAAAACCAAGTTTATTACCACAATATTACCATCCTACGGCTCACCTTGCTTCTAGAACAATGTGGCTTACCTCAGTGGAAATAGTCCAAAGTTATAGCTAGCATTCACTATGCACAGGACAGTCGATATACAGGGTAGTAGTAAATTAACTGAAATTCATTGACCCAAACTAGATCTCAGATCGAGATCAAATCAAAGTCAGGTCACTATTTATTGACTGACAAGGAGAGGATTGAGACCAAACAGGCAACGGACTGAGCTAATATTGAAAGGAAAGCAAATACATCCAGCGAATTTACACAATCCAATATAGATAGGAAATTAAATATTTTTAGTCAATGTAAGAATACAATGTTAATATATGCCAGCAAACACATCAAGATGACAAGGTCAATCCTTTCATCCTCTGTTAATACTAGGACTGTTAATACTAGGAGGGAGATGCTTCTTCTTCCTGTTTAAGTGAAAGAAGCATCAACATTGTATAATCCTCCAACAATATTGATGCCAAAATAAAGACACAAAAACAAATCAGTTCCGCAACATTGTGCATATATAATTACCATTGATTCAAATTCACTGTCACCAACCGAATGTCGTGCTAAGATTCAGCTTTTGTCCAGTTACGTAATCAGATAAATTGTGGCCGGTAATGATTGATAACAGATTATCATCCCTTCAATAGATCTTTCCTTTTTCTTTTGGACTATTCCCTTCAAGAGATCATAAATCACAATTATTACAATAAAATTCATTCTATCAAAAAAAAAACAGAGCCAGCATCGACAAAGAAAAGAATAAAGAAACATGCGATGAAATACACAATACTAGTAGCAAAACATTTACTATAAGACAAAATGTGTTGAAATTGTTTGCTTAAATTATAACTTAAGACATAAGTAAAATTGCACTGGGAGAAAAAAAACAAGAACAGAAAACAGTAATTAAACTTCTTTTGCATTTGCGAAGGAAAAGATCTTCCTTCTACTCCACAAAGGGAAGAAATTTTCCCGTAATCAATCAGGTGCCTTTGCTCATTTGCTGTATGAATTAAGAGGTGGTCTCAATTCATCACTAACAAAATGCCATTACTCAAAAAGCAACAATGACCGTTTACCTCAGTGCAAATGGATGTCCTTCCATTCCATCATCTAAGTTGCATTGTGAACCTCTGAGGGAAAACTTTTAACGCCACTTCAAAGGGCATCGATCCATTTTGCTTGGAGCTTTTGCTACAAAGTTGAATAGCTCATTGAGCGAAAGAAATCAGCATCCATGGCATAAGCAGAATTTTTTTTTTCTTTTTCAAACTAACTAAATGTCGCACTAATAGATGGAGAGAACCAATATGTCAATTGCTGCAAACGGCATTGGTCCACTCTATAATTTTGAAGCCCAACTTAAATAAAATTGTATTTATAAAATTAGGAAGGCCTCTTGAGCTAGAAGCCTGGAACGATGCATGGGTACATCCTCCGTTGTAACTTGCAAGAGGAAATAATCTTTGGGAATGTTACGGCTAACTCTCTTGTCAGTGCTGCCAGTTGTGGTAGTTCTCCAGCCTCTACAAGCAGAAAAACACACTCATTAGAATTTTCTTGGCAGCAAGTACACATTTATCACACAACTGGCTAATCTATTTTCTCACCAAGGAAGTAGGGTAGCGTCTGAAGGACAGGTGACCTTAGAGTTTCCTGATATTCTTCAGTTGGATAACCAGGTATTTGATCCAACCCTAATCCAACAGAGAGGCTCCAAGCATGAAATGGATCAAGACAATTCATCAATCATTCATGGTCCTAACTCCTAAGTCACACTGTAATGCTGGCATCAAAAAATTCCATTATCAAAACTGGGACTAAAAGAATCTGTTTAGCACGTGCAGTACCTTTCTACAAAGTGGATTATCTCATAATGACAATAAGATTGAATTAACATCAAGTGCTGCCTTGGCATCCATTTTACCATCATAAAGCTCGCCTCACTCCCACTCTATTCTACAAAGTAGGTTGCCTCATGCAGACAGTAACAGTACAAAGTTTAACGTTTACTAGTTAATATGTTAATAGTGAACTTAGTCAAGGAATATTACATAATATAATATAATTTAATATGATACTTAACAATATATTGTTGAATCACAGCCGCAATACATTATGCATTTATGTTACACTTAGCTTACACTCCATGAACAAATGCAACAACAATAACAACAATGCTAGATGGAATCGGCAACATAGATTATACAACACCATTGTGCTCTATCATCAACCAAGCTTTTTTGCATGAATAAATGAAAAAAGGAAATTGAGAGTTGCACACTTTACAAAAAGGAGATGAAGACAAGGCCTAGCTGTGATGAAAGTGTTAAGTGGAGAGGCATTATTTTTCTCATCTATATGTTTTGGGGGGAGGGAGAGGGAGTTATTGTTTCTGTTTTTCCTTTGGCCAAGTGCTACTGTTACGATTTTGACCACTAATAAAATGATGCTACTTCGTGAAAGTATGAAACTTTCTCATATGGGGAGCACTTGGCAACACAAACTTTTCCACACTGGCTCAGATATTATTTCGAGGAAAAAGAAAACAGATAAGAAGAGAAACAAGGTAAAATGTGTCTCTCTCAAAGATGCCTGCAAGATATTTGAAAGCCATGCAACTCAAAATAGTTAAAACTAAATTTTATCACATTAGATATTATTTTCACTTCCCAAGGAAAGAAAACTGAAATATCTAGCAACGAGTTTCATAAATAGAGAAGACCATAAATTCAACTAGACTGCAGTTGACTATAAAATATCTTCAAAACTGAGCAACCCCAATCCCACTTTTCAGCAGCTGAACAATGTGTCAGAAAGTTATTGAAGCATAACAGGGATTAGTTAACAACCAAAGCAAAGGAAAACGAACTCCAAAAGTGACAACTAGCCATTTCATGAACACCACTCTCTAGCATTCTGGAACATGCGCAGCCACGGACTAGGCCCCTTTTTGTCCACATCCCACTGCTTTGGATACCATGGAAACTGCCACATTAAGAAGCAACGCTCCGGATGAGGCATCATGGCAAGATGTCGTCCATCTGGAGAACAAATAGCTGCAACCCCTAAAGGAGAGCCATTTACATTGAAAGGATATTTCTCTGTTGGATTGCCGCCATCATCACAATATCTTAGAGGAGCTAACTCAGAATGAGCAATACGATCTAGCACACCTTCATCTGGGAAATATGCTTTTCCCTCGCCATGTGCAGCCCACACCCCAAGAGTACTACCCTCCATGCCCTTAAACATTATTGCCGGAGAGTCCTTTATTGTCACACTTGTAAAGCGGCACTCAAATCGCCCAGACTCATTGTGAATGAATCTTGGTTGTGAAAGGTCCCCACCAACACCAAGAACTCCTCCAACCTGTGGGCCTGGTACCCATCCCAACAAAGCCATTAGTTGACACCCATTGCAAACTCCAAGGCTGAAAGTATCTGAACGGTTGTAAAACTCTTGAAACTGCTTTATAAGAGGCTCATTAAATCTTATACAAGCAGACCATCCTTTGGCAGAATCAAGCACGTCTGCATAACTAAATCCACCAACAAAAACAGCCCCATGGAACTCTTGCAAAGAGATCACTCCATTAAGAAGGTCTGACATTGTAACATCCCATGGTTCAAAACCAGCAGCATAAAATGCTGCAGCCATTTCTCTATCTCCATTGCTTCCTTCTTCTCTGATCACAGCAACTTTTGGTTTTGAAGTTGCAAGCATGTACTTTTTGTCAGTGAAGGAAGGAGAAAAGGACAATTTCCATGAAGGTGCACATCTATGTTTTAATCCTTCTCTTTCCATGTCAACACAAGATGCCAACCTTTGGAACTTTTCCAGCTGAAAACTGGTTTCTTCCCACATATCCCTGAGGATAGAAGTACTTTCTTTCAAATAAGTCACCCCATCAACCTTAACTTCTATCAAAGAACTAGCAGTTACTTGTCCTACAATCTCACCAGTAACACCAGCATTGTTCAACTTACCTAGCACAATACCTAAATTTTTCTTGCTCACCTCGACAATCAACCCAAGTTCTTCTGCATAGAGGGTTTCAAAAAGACTATTTCCTTTTGATGTCAAGTCCAAAATAAACCCACAATTTCCAGCAAATGCCATCTCTAAAGCACAAACTAGCAACCCCCCATCACTTATGTCATGTCCAGCAGAGATCAATCCATCAAAAAGAAGATCTTGGACAGTCTCAAAGACCCTTTTAAAGTAAGGAACATCATCAAGATCAGGACATTGATCCCCAATTTGGTCAAACACTTGGGCAAGAGCAGATCCACCTAGTCTTCGCTTTCCCTTTGCCAAATCAATATGAAGCAAAATGCCATCATCTTCAAGTTTCAAATCAGGAGTCACTGTTTTTGTAATATCAGGACAAGTGACATAAACACTAATTACAAGGTTTCCTGGAGCCTTAACAACTTCACCTCCAGCATGAGCTGCCATAGAAAGGCTGTCTTTCCCACCATCAATAGCAATACCAAGTTCAATCATAGCTTCTGACAAAGATAGAGCAGCATCGTACATGGAAGCTCCTTCCCCATCAAGCTTGGCAGCATACATCCAATTACCGCTTGCCTTAACATCAGAAAGGGAAGTGACCTTTGCCCACACAAGATTTGTGAGTGC